GCCTGTCACCGTATGTATAGACGAGACACATGCACGTTGCTCTCCTGCAAGCAATAATTTTGACAATGGGTATCTCATGATCAGTCCAAAAAGACCTTCCAGAACTAGTAATTAAGTACAATATACAACATGCTGAGATCTAAGATCGGCAAGCAAATGGCTTATGAGCACTGCCATTGGTTGTTTCGTCAATCTGGTATCAATTAGTTGGTAAACGAGGGACCGGCGTCGGGGATGAAGCTGGGACTTACAATATCAACAATCGTCGAGTAGGTGCCGGCAACCAAAACCACAGCGCCGACAATGAAGGCCAGAATACTTCCAAGGCTGATGAGGATGTTCTCGCGGGCGAACCACTTGCCCTTGCAGAGGATTGTAAACCACATGATGGCCGGGATGTAGAACGAGAAGCCCGAAACGAACAGGGCCGAAGCTAGTGAAAGCAGGTCGGAGAAGATGGGAATGGCCTCGGCAATAACCCAAGCGACGATGGTGAAGATTACAACGAGGATGATCCAGCTGGCCCAGCCCATTGGGGTGTTGATATACTTGAGATGCGAGTTCTTGTACATGCGGCCGTGGATGTATCGGAGGGCAACAGTCGAGTTGATCGAACCGGAGATGAAGATGACCGGGATGGCAACTCCAAAGGCAATCTTGGAAATCAGAGGTCCGGCCGAGAGAAGAGCCGGCGACTGAACCGAGGAACCGATAAAAGCGTAGCACAGGGCGCCGGTGACTGTGTAGATGATGATCTGGATTACGCCGGACGCCCACATGGACTTCATGTAATCGGTAGGGGTATGCATCTCATCCATGAAAGAGAATTGACCAATGGCAAAACTGAAGGCGAAGATGATGTTGCTGACGGCAACAAAGGCCTCGGAGAAGGAGACGCCTTCCTTGGGCCAAGCAGACCATTCGACAGCCGAAAGACCGCCCGGAGCCTGGTTGGCCTGGACTCCCGTGGCGATGACGGTGATTCCAATGGCAGCAACGATGGAGACGAAGTCGATGTAACCGAGGATAGCTACTTCGGTGAAGGAGGGCGGGATGGCAAGGATGAGGAGGATGATGGCCGACACGGCGGAGAATACAATGGAGCAGGCATGGCCGCCATTGATGTCGAGCAGTGCGATGCTTCCGGTGAGGGCGTGCGACCCCACAACCATGACAAGCTCGAGGACAAGAGCGGCTCCGAACAGTTCGTATCCGACACGTCCGTACCGGCCAAACAAGAGTCTGCCGGCTTCGGCGTAGTTGGCAACGTGAGGGTGGGCCAGCTTGACTTGACCAACGAGGTAGCTGGTGAAGATGGAAAGCATCCCAATGGTGATGGTGAGGAAAACACCAGGGAACATGCCGAGTGTGTGATAGGCGGAAGGCAAGCTGAGCGCACCGAGCGCGACAGCCTCGACGATGGTCACGATGGCCAGGCGCTTCCAGCCCAAGCGGTGGAAGTGAGCGCTGCCCTGAGCCGCGATCTGCTTCAGGCGGGCGTCGTTCATCTCATCGCTCGTCTCGCCGAGCATGGTGTTGTCGTTCGCGGGCCAAGGATCAGGAGACTGGCCCATCTCGGCATCCGAGCCATCTTTGCTCTTGGGCTCCTTGTGGTGACCAGAGCTGATCGTGGTGGAGATACCGTTGGACATGGTGGGAAGAGGCTCGATTCAACCGCGGCGGCAGAGTTGGGAACTGATTGGTGGACGACGTTGGATCGAGAAGAGTTTGGAGATGTAAAGAAGCCAACGAGTAAACGAAGCACTCAGGGAGGCAGGCAGACAAGACGCGTCTGACGTTAGCTACTTTTAAACGGCTATCCCAAGGTGCGAGTCAGATGGATCAGGTTCCACATGGTCGTGGATGGATTGGAGGCATCCTTGAAAAGAGGCTGTCGTCAGTAGCTTGGCCGGTGGAAGCCGGGCCTCCTCCACAGAATGATCTCGCCCCCACGGGCGACAGATAACAAGAATCCCGTACGGGTCTGCAAAACACGGGGAGAACGCAATTCTACGCTGATAAGATCTAATAGTTGTGTGTCATTGATGTCAAACGGCCCCGTCATTTCTGAATTGCGTGGTCCCTTACAGGGCGTTCTTCGGACTGTCCTTCATGGGGGATATTGCGGAGGGCGTATTAACCAAGTTTCGATGCCGTAAAAGAAGCTTCGCATTGCTCGTTTGAGCCGCGCTAAGAGATCCGCCCGGCGGTTCCTTGCGGAGCCTTTTGCTCGATCCAGAAACATAAGCGAGGAACTTTTATGTAAAACGGTGGATGACCAAGGACATTCAGATGAATGCAAAAGAATTTTTACTTGTCGTAAAGCCGAGCAAAACCCGCCACTAGCCACTGCGGCAATACCACAAGCCGCCGAAGACTTTTTTCTTCCTTTCGCGGCTCGCTTGGCACGGAGCCTGTCCGGAAGACCAAGAGGGGCCGTATTACGTCTGTGAAATCTCTCCATTGGGGCGGGCCTCCCGGGGTTGCACGTTTCTTTGCAAGGGTTGGGCCCGTTGCTTTGCAGGCTTTGAAGTCTTCGCCGTCTAGCCACTTCCGAGGCAAACCTGCTCACCGTCCCACGGAGATGAGAACGCGGCTCGGTTGTTGAATCGTGTAGAGCCGACCCGATTGCCCAGGCAATGACGAGCCTTTTGGCAGGGCTCCTCCGTGCTTGTGTGTCTCGACCCTTGCCTATATCTTGAGAAATCTCTGCCGGATAGCGGCTGCGTGCTTCAAGCTAGGTAAAACCCTTTTGAGGTTTGAATTTATGGGAGCTTGTTGGTATCACAGGCGATCGATCGAATAGCAGCAATAGCGTATATTGACTATTGGTTGCTGAAGTTGTTGATAAGTAGAGAAGAAGAAGAAGGAGAAAGTGGTCACTGCCGTGGATATCACCATGGTGAAGGTGAGCAACCGAGGTGGGCACGTGACCTCGGAGCGGCTCCACTTCACCACCGGTTGGGCCGGTCGGTGATATCGCAACAGAGCTATTGGTAGTGCAGAAGATAATTAACTGAGCTAGGTCTGGAAATTTGACTTTATCTATCAAATTCAGATTGCACATTCAAATTCAACTGTCCTAATAGAATGCCTCCGCTAATAATACTCGGAGCCTGCAGTTGTCCGCTACACAAGTACCGTATCGTGAAGCTGGGAACATCTTCGTGTGGCTAGTACCAGTTCTGCCCGCCACAGATGTGGCTTACCACATGTACAGACCACTCAAGTAAAATATATCGACAGTCGGGTGATCTCCTACGGTACGGTCTCGTATGTATGTGTCCCTCCGTATTGCACCTATTTGCGGGAATGGCGATTCTTAGGCATGCCCCAGGTCCCGAAAGAAAGCAACAGCAATACCCAGGACCGTAGCTGCAAACCCGCCGCCGTCCCAATCAACCCCCTGCGTACTCGTCTGGAGTGCAGTCGCAACTGCGAGCCCCAGCGCGTGACCGACATTATTGGAGCTCTGCAACAGCCCACTATCCATGACCTGATCGGCGGAGGATAGCCTGGCGGCTATGGGCAAGCTAACGACGGGCTAAACAATCTCGATACTGAAGCATAGACACATGGCGGGGAAGCTGTAGGCCCAGTACGTCGTCTCGGGTGGAATGGTAGCGATGGTCATTAATGAAGGAGGATGCTAGGCTGCAGACTAAGCCGAATTGTGCATGTCTTGCTCTGGATCAGAGTGAGATTCTTCCTTACAACTTCTCTAACCTCTGACTCTTGGCTTATTTAACCTAAAAAACACTCCTGAGTCTCTAGTATGCCTCTAAGCTATGCGCCCTACCCTACTCCGTTGCTTAAATAGCTAGAGGCCTTGTGCGCTTCATAGTAAGTAACTACTTTATAGTTAATATGGGATTATAGCAAACTAGGAGATTTTTGAGATTTACTTAATATATACAAGTAAGGATAATTGGAATTATATCACTTAGTACTAGTATGGTTAGGTCAGTTTGGATGTATCTAACCGCGTACGTAACCAGGAATCACTGATGTTTTTGGATACTTCCACGTGTCGAATCCCGTGAACGAGGAGGTCGTCGCTCTTACCCCACCCTGGCGGGTTTCGATGCGGGACAGTTCCGCTGTAAACAGCAAGGTCCTCCATGTTTCTATCACTCACTCCCGTCCTGATTGCAGAGAGCGAGAATGCCTGCAGCCGAGTCAGAGGTCGATATCGAGTAGAATCGGCCCAGAAACGACTCAGCCGCGAAGCCATGGTCACGGCGAGTTTGGCTGGTCACAGCATGGCGCGCGCGGTGTTGAGATGCCTGTAAACTTTTTTTTTCGAATGTGCTAGTCATGAAGGAGAAGAAAGACGTGCAGACGAAAGTTATCTAGATGGCGAATTCCAAAACCCTTGTAAAGCTGGTCACCCCCTCTTGGCGTGCGGGTCATCATGTTGCGGTTCTAGCACGACTTTGTCACATCGTACTTAGTTCCACGGATACCCTTCGAACCACTTGAGATTAGGACGCATGCAGCGGAGAGAGGCTACCTTTAACCTATTTACCGACTCGGATGTGGGAAGCCCGACAAAATCTAGCTCTACAAAAAGCTCCATCACAAGCTACAAACTCTGAAAAGATGCCCAAAATTCTCCTGAAGGTGCACTAAAGGGAGGCTTGCCGCGGTGTTTGTAGACTTCACACCTTCGACTTTGAGCTGATGCTTATTGCTGTCTTTCACAGGGGCTGGCCCAGTTTTTACTGTCTTGAATTGCCCCGGTTTCTATCTCGGGCTTGTATACTCAGGTACTTGATAGTATCGATAATTACGTGGTGGGATGAATCATAGTCTACAGTTTGCAAAGTCATTTGCATTTCCCCAGACTTCCGGATCCAGACGTGTAAGTGAAGGGTGGATCTGGGGTTTGGACCAGGGCCGCGTCTTGGCTTCCTAATATGGCCTAGCGCGAATCGTGCAAGATGCCGGGCCCCGATCCGCCGGGCCAACTTTCGATAAGAAAAGACCCGCTGTCACCTTTCCACTCTGACAACTCTACAACCCGACCCAACTTCATGCAACCTCGGACGGCGCGAAACACTTGCCGGCCAACCAAACATGTCCGGACAGCCATGCCTGACGCGTCTTACGCCTCCAACTCGTGCTGGACTTGCCGGCAGAAGCGGGCCAAGTGCGATAGACTCCTCCCAGCTTGTCTCCGCTGTTCCTCCCTGAAGCTGCGATGCCAAGGCTATGACCGGCCGAAGAAGCTTGTCTGGACCAATAGCGTGGCCAGCAGGGGCAGAATGATGGGAAGAGCTACGTTCGGTACGAGCGAGTCGACAGATAAGCTTGCGCTTGACAGGCCTACTCTCCCAAGGTCTGGGATGCTGAATCGCTTGGCGGAGACAATGCAAGATGCATGCCGCTTCTCGGCTGAACTATCAAGGCCGCTTATAGACCCCGATCTGCAGGACATGTCTGATGACTTCCGGAATTACATACGCTACTGTAAGCTGCAACCCGATTTCTCCATGTCCAAAGCGCTAATCCGAAGTGATGTGCCAGTCGACTTGGAAATGTCGAAGGAGTGCGTGGTCTACTATCAGACATCCAGGAACCCCTTCTTGGCTTTGATGCCACTCATGACCAAGAGTCGGGCGCTGTCTCATGCAGTAGTTGCGATATCCGCCTTTCACTACTCCCATCGAATGCTTATCAACAAGGCGCAGCCCCCCTCAGGCGAACCTAGAGTTGTTGATATTGCCTCGCTGTATGCGTCGCATGACCACGACTGGCAGTTGACTCAACCATGTTTCTCTCCATCACTGCAGACAGCTCTGGCGCACAAGCAGAAGGCCTTGGAATATCTGAAGTCTGAGATAGGTATCCAGGACGTGACTAACAACGATGCGGTGGTTGCAGCCATCGTTCTCTTCGTATGCATGGACGTAGTGGAGTTCGGTAGCCGGGGTTGGGAGTACCATCTGGAAGGCGCCGGGGAGATTCTTCAGAAGCGCAGGAGGGCCCTAGAAAGTGGGCATTACGAATCTTCCCCCTGGCTGGAGTATTTTGACACAGCCTACACGACGTGAGAACATCACTTTGGGCTCCCCATCTTCCCAATGCTGACCCTTGTGCTAGATTCGGAGTTCTGGGCGCAACGCTAGCACCGGCAAAGGGTTCTTTCTTCCAACGCCTCGATTCACTAGATCCATTTCTTATGCAAGCTCTGCGACAGTCCGAAACCCAAACCTGGGTTGGTTGTCCTGCCGAGCTACTCTACTTGATTTCGGTTGTGAACTCGTTGCGCTCGGATTCTTCAACTGTCACCGGACGGCTGGCCGTTATTAGAGAGCTGTGCAACAGCTTACAGACCTTCTCGCCTCCAGTGTGGGCCACAGACTTCTCGGATTCAAACTACCACGAATCGCGCTCCCATCTTGCATATGCCTATAAGGCGGCAGTTGAAGTTTATGCCTCTCAGGTTATCGGAGTCGCTCCCGAAACTGACTATTTGTCGAGACAGTATCTCGATGCAAATATCCCATCTGCCATACTCCACATGTTGTCAATACCCGCCCAGGACTTCCACGTCAAGAGTCTGGTATGGCCAGCGTTCATTCTCGGAGCAGAAGCGCAGACTATCGAGCTCAGAAACATGGTCCGAGCACTCTATTGGGATGTTTGGATTTCCTCATGCTGCTACAATGTCAGAAACGCCATCAACGTGCTGGAACGGCTGTGGGCACGGAGTGCGTTTGAAAGCGCGTCGAAATCGTGGTTGCAGTACGTTTGGGATCTGGAAGACAGCTGGTTGTTTCTCTAGTTATGGGACTGGCCTCCATACAGGTAGACCATCGGATCTCGGGGATGACAGACAAGGGTCACGCTTGTTTGCAAGGCTTGTAGCCAAGAGGAGGCCGTGACGCGACCAAATGCTGCAGGACGCTTAACCCCGGACGGAAGAAGCGGGTCGGCCGCGCTGCCATCCCAAAACCGGGAGCCCGTGTGCAACCCCTCAAATGAAGGCCCCATGCGCCGGAACTCACGTTGGAAAACCGGGGACTGATAAGAAGCAGAGTTTCTGCCGCCGCAGTTTGAGGCCACCATATCAGGCCTTCCGCATCTGGTCTTATAACTTTGCATGTTTTCCCTTCATCATTCATTCTTTGATTTTCTCGTCATTGTTTCAAGTCATTGCGTTACTTCGGCCACTCAACAACTCACAAGATGTCTGCCCCGCATCCCCTCTGCCCCCTCTCAGGTGCGGAGATCCAAGCCGCTGCACAGTTAATCCAGACTTGTTGGCCACAGTCTGTCTCTCTTCAGTTCAAGGTGGTGACGCTCAGCGAACCAGCCAAGGCGCAACTGGCGCCTTACTTGGATGCGAGGGACAAAGGACAGTCTCCGCCTCAACCTGATCGTCGTGCTTTCCTGACCTACTACGTTAGGGGGACGGTAAGAAGATCAGAGTGCCTCATGAGGATCAACTGAATGCTCACTGACTCAAAATAGGACCTCTTCCATGAAGCCGTTGCCAATCTGACGACAGGGAAGGTTGAAAGCAACGTCAAGCTGGGAGCCAACCTCCATGGCAACGTCGACTACGACGAGGCACAGATTGTGGAGAAGATTGCCCTCGAGGACCCCAAGGTCGTGGCTGAGATCAAGAAACTCGAACTTCCAGAGGGCGCCGTTGTCTGCGCCGATCCTTGGATCTACGGTAAGGACTCTGTTTGCCTGACAGCGACGGAATGGGGAGGCTGACGTTCACGAGGGTCGGATGGTGTCAACGACGACGAGCGTCTCTATCAGGTCTTCCTCTATATGAGAGACCCGAACAACAGCGCCGAGCCCGACTCAAACCACTACGCGTTCCCGCTTCCTATCTTGCCCGTTGTTGAATGCAACGAGTACAAGATCATCCGCATCGACATCTTGCCGACCGGTGCGGACAACACCGTCAAGCCTTTGAGCCCTTACAGGCCCAAGCCCGGAAACGAGTACATCCCCGAATGCCAGAACTTGCGGAAGGACCTCAAGCCACTTCACGTCAGCCAGCCTGAGGGGCCCAGTTTCACCGTCACCCCTGTCGGAGAGACCGGTAATGTTGTTGAATGGCAGAAGTGGAGTTTCTTCGTTGGTATGTTGAGACTGTGATGGCCTGGACATTCACACGAGCGACTAACTCTCGAGTAGGATTTAACCAGCGTGAAGGCATGGTGCTTTACAACGTCAAGTACGATGGCCGTTCGCTGTTCTACAGGCTATCCCTCTCGGAGATGAGCGTGCCCTACGGCGACCCTCGCCACCCTTTCCACAAGAAGGCCGCCTTCGACCTGGGTGACGTGGGTGCCGGCACCACCGCCAACAACCTCCAGCTGGGCTGCGACTGCCTTGGAAGCATCCAGTATCTCAGCGGCGTCATCTCCGATGACCGCGGACAGCCGGACCCGAGGGAGAACTGCATCTGTATCCACGAGCAGGACGCCGGGATCTCCTGGAAGCACACCAACTACCGGACCGGACGGGCCGCCGTCGTCCGATCTCGGGAACTGGTTCTCCAGAGCATCATCACCGTCTCCAACTACGAGTACATCCTCATGTTCATCTTCAACCAGGCGGGCGAAGTGACGTACGAGGTCCGGGCCACAGGTATCCTCTCTACGCAACCCATCGACCACGACCTGGACAAGGTGGGCACGTCGTTCGGCACCGTCGTCCATCCCGGCGTTCTTGCCTGCCACCATCAGCACATCTTCTCCCTGCGCGTCGACCCGATGATCGACGGCCACACCAACCAGCTGGTCTACTCGGAAGCTCGCAAGATGCCGCGGGATCCCGAATGGAACCCCCACGGCACCGGGTACGAAGTTGTGGATAAGGCCGTTGAGAAGACGGCAGGCCTGGACCTCGACGTCGACTTGAACAGGACGTTCAAGATCACCAACCCGAAATCGTTGAACCCCGTCAATGGCAAGCCGGTGGCCTACAAGATCGTGGCCCCGCCCTTCCAGAAGCTCATGAGCGACAGCGACAGCTTCAACTACAAGCGCGCCGAGTTCGCGGACCACAACATCTACGTCACAACCCACAGAGACCGGGAGCTCTACGCGGGTGGCTGGTACACGAACCAGTCCCGCGGAGGGACCGGCGTCCGAGGCTGGTCGCAGCGCAACGAGACCCTGACGCCCGAGTCGGACATTGTGGTCTGGGTGCAGTTCGGCATCAACCACGTGCCGAGAATCGAGGATTTCCCCGTGATGCCGGTCGAGATCTTGAAGGTGCACTTGAAGCCGGTCAACTTCTTTGACAAGAACCCTGCTCTCGACGTACCCCCGAGCCAGCAGAGTTTCAACAAGAGCACCTTGGTGGAATCGCGCAAGGATGTTGGCGGCGGAGGGGATGATGATGGATGTGGCTGCGGGGCACCGTCGTCAAAGCTCTGAAAATGGATAGACGGTTTGATAAAAGCTTCTAGCGTAGATTTCAATACATATTCTACATGCTACATCAAGTGCACAAGCTGCAAGAAACCCCTATGCGATCATGTTGGCAGATGAATCAGGAACCCACCCAGACGCCTGGTCATAGGCGAAGAGCAAGGGATCTCTCAACATACATTTCATCTTGATTTTCACTTTAACTTTCACCTCGACTTTCACACGTTATGTATTATAATGCTATAGATGGAGTCTTTCTTGCATTGCTTCTCCTCTCCTCGTTCTTCTTCTTTTCCTTATCTTTTTCACCAAAGTCCGGCGGAATTGGCGCAATTTTGTCAGAACAGTGCAAGTAAACTGACTTTTCTGGCAAGACCCTCCAGCATCGGGACGCGTGATATGTACTGAAAGCGTGTAGAGGTGTGGTTGGGGACTTTGGTCGTGGCGGAGCTGTGAATAGACACAACAACACTACACAACACAAAGCAACTCAGGTTCCAACTCCGATCATCTTGAGTAGGGGATCTCTGATCAGCGCTTTCAAGGACCGATCAGAGGTACCAGACTCTAATCAGAGATGGCAAGGAACTCCCGATCGCCTGAGTTACCACGTACGACTGTCTCGAAGAGGTTGTAAGGCTCTTGTTCAGATTTCAGAAGAAGAGAAGTGTCGGAAAAAGTATGTTGTCTCTCGCTTATCGTATGCGCAGGTCCTCTATCTAATATACCTCTGATCAGAAGTATAATCTCTGATCGATCCATGCACGTGTCAGCGTTCCCCATCCCCGCTCCGGTACTACTTGTGAAACCTGGCTGTACTCATTAACTAGTAACAGCTTTGAAGTCACTGGTGCCGTGCTTGCCGCGTACGAGGGTGAACATTAGCTTCATTTCGGCGAGGTTGTCCGTCACCGGGGTTCCGGTACTATTCCCCGCCCGAGTAGGACAACATGCCGGAGGACTGGGACGAAGACCCCGAGTTCGAGGAGCTGTGAACAGTCGAGGATCTAGCCATGGAGTTCGAGGAGGAGTGCAGCGGCCATGTGGCCATGAAGAATCTCAGCGACCGGGAGCCAGAGAGGCGCGCCCGCATATGGTTCAGCACGATGACAACCAAGAGAATCGGCAACGCAGTTAAACGCGAGAACGCCGTACGCGAGCACGTCAACAACCACAGTCCCGTCATTAAGAAGGCGTGCTTCAAGTCCATTATGTCCCGCGACGTGACTTGGCAGACGAAGAAGCAGCGAGACATCTTCTGTCACGTCGTCGAGCTGTCGGCCGACGAGAGCGAGAAGCTGAGAGAGTACTGGTCCCTCGCGCTGGGCGCCGTCTACGCAAACTACGCCCTGGGAGAGCACTACGACGTCCCGGCCTATGGCGAACTCAAAGAGGGGACACAGCGTCTGCCGCCGCACCACGTTGAAGAGCGCCTGGGCGAACTTGGACGTCTCGTTGCGTACATCGTGTGCCTTGTCGACAAAAACGAGGCTGAGGAAGTAGATTTCTTGGACCTGACGAAATTCAGCCAGCTTCGGCCAGACATCCTTGTAGCCCTTGTTCTCTACGCCAAGGCTAGCGGCAACCGTTCCAGTTGTCGTGATTGCGCCTCGTCTCGCATACTCGGGTGTACTTTCATCGATCCCGGCCTCGATACTGGCGTGGTCGTTCTTGGTCTTGGCAAGAAGGTAGAGGCCCTATTCTTCAATCGGCGTCCCAGAGTTCCTTTACTTTCCTTATCCTCCTTACCCCTGTGACGTAGAATGTGTCCCAAAAGGTTAGTTTTCCAAGCATCCTGGGAAGAACCCCGGTCCAAGCACCCAAGACAGGCTCCAAGCAAGGAACTCACCTGGGGAATCCTGACGACCCTCTGACACAGCCTTCCTGCCAGCCGTTGCGGATCTAACAGGAGGAGCTAGGCTGCGATGGTGACGTGAAGCGACGCAGTCCGAAGGTGAAGTGTAACAGTAGAGCAGTGAAACGAGGCAAGCAATAAACAAGGAGCTGAACGATTGACATAGGACAAAAGCTAGGTATGGGTGTAGATTGTGTATTTAGGTTGCCTCCCCTAATAGGAGGCAATGGACAATGGGATATATACCCTATGGGCATATGCCTAGACATGTGCTAGCGGGGCTATCCCTTGTCCTACCTATTTATCTATAATATGATGTTCTTGTCCTATGACAAGTGCCCCCCCTTTAAAAGACTTTGTCTTCTTCTGCTAAGAGAATATGCTAAATAGTGGCTTATATAAATATAAAAGTGTAGTAATTGCTGTCTTCCCTGTGTAATAACCCTATTACTTATTGTCTCTAAAGTTGCGTTAAGAGCGCTTAGTCTTAGGCGGCGCCTGGGCTAGGTCGTCTGTGTTGGTGTCATAGGGTTGTTTGTCTGTCTAACTGCGCTAGACCGTTGGCGTAATAGTCTTAGACTGCGCGGTTAGGGCACGAGTGTTGACTGTAGCTCCCTGTTTGTTGAGCTTGGCAGCAATTTGGTTGACCTTCTCTGTTAACTCCTTAAATGTGCTGTTCTTGAATTTGGTGAGCGCATCGAGATTATCGGCCTTCTTGTTAAGAAGCGCAATCTTGTTGTTCGCCTTTTCAGCCTGGGTCTTCAGATCGTCAAGGCGCTACTCATGGTCGTGCGCCTTATCCGCCTTCTTGCGTAAATTGGCGGTGATGTCGTCGATGAGGCGTTGGGCAATAGAATATATACTCTACGGGCACGTGAATGAACACGTGTTAGTGGAGTTATCCACCGCCCACTGCTCTGCGGCCACTTCTTGGTTATTCTCGGCCACTTGTCCTGTGCCACCCTCGGTGGGGGGGGGGGGGGGGGGGGGCTCAACGGTCCATTTTACCCAACTCTTGTCCTTGCGTCGACCGCGAACTTTTCTCAAGTGTAGGACAAGGCGAAGGACTTTAAGGGGGGGGAAGAAATTGAAGTTATAGTCATGGATTCGGGGACTGCCGCCAAGCCAACAAACCCGGTCCAAGGATTTCGTCAATCGCGGACGGTTCGGGCTCACCGACCACAAGTACTCTGGATTACTCGCCACCGAACGCAAAGCTCTATTGAAAGCATATTGCGAAGCAGGCACTAACATGGCAAAGAGGCCCTTCACCAACCAGCTGCCCGGTTCGATGGTGTTGATGGGCACACACTTCTATGAATTTTAGCTTCGATAAGCTAAGAAGGATTGACAAAAAAGAGTAGAAGGATGTCGATGTGTGGGACTTGGTAGGCCATGGGGGGACGATGGACTCGATCAGACCTTTAAGGTGATATCGGACAAGTTTTCCCACCTGTTCGTGGTCCACGTCTTCTATCAGTCCGCATCAACAGCACCAAAACATCGAGCAAAGGCCACTGTGAGCGATGCCAGGCAACTTGTGGAGCCTATGGACGGCTTCAGGGCAGAGGCACACAACCCCGACACGGCGAAGAACCCTGATCCTCATGTCCTACTCCACGAACAACCGCCGGATGATTGTCAGGGACAAGAGAGACGTTATCACGGATGGTGGTGATGACGAGGATGACGTGGACGATGATATCCCTCTGGCCACCTCGCTTCTGTATGCAAAGCCGCACACGCCGGAGTGAAAGAAGGCTGAGGCGTCGTATGTCTTTCGTACTACCCTTCTCAATTGGAGATGCCCGACAGTCTTCTTGGCCAATATAAATGTCTTCTCTGATGTCTCCGACTGGCTGAATGAATTTGTCTTCCTGAGCTGATGTCTCGTGTGGTGATGAGATGAGGGATGAGAGAGACTGTCCAGCCCCAGGTCGCTCGAGATTGCCAGCTACACTTCGCAGACCAGTCTGGGATACGAGTGATGCCCTGAGGTTCGAATGGCAGCGGGTCCTGGATGAAGGTCGTCTTCGACGCCTGGGTCGTCGAATCTGTTTTGGAGAATTCTGTTGAATGACCTTCGACAAGAACGAGTTTTCATCAAAAACGACCCCCAACTGATCAGCGATCGTTGGCGGGGGTAGGTCGTATGTGTAGCTATATGTTGCGCTGACCGAGCTCCCGGGATCCCCAAGCCCAACAGTGCTAATGAGGCAGCGGCCATCAGGACGCTTCGTGTTCTCTTGAAGGTGTGTGCTATCCTGGTACAAATAGGAAGCTCCGAGTATGGGGCCTTGGGCATTGGTTGGTGAGGTATGTCGAAGATTCTTGCCAGGCGTACGAGGGTTGTGACCCTTAGAAACAGATGGCTTCTTGTAGTTGGAAGGGCCATTGTCAGAATCGTCACCATCCTCATCAGAGGAGCCACCCGGACCTTTGTTGGTACATCAAGCCCCGTGTGATTACCAGATACATTCGGCACAGGCGCCAGCCTGGCAGTTTGGCAAGCGGCGACACTCAGTAAAACGGCAGGAGCCTGGCTGAGCGCACTTATTGGCGCATGGTTGATTGGAAGGACGACCGCGCGATTGCACAAGAATTACACAAAAGTAACTCTCGCAGCAAATCACCTTTGCGACAAAACCCTGAACTATAACACCAGCGTCCATGCGTACAGAGATATCTTGCGAAGGGAGGCAAATGCCTTGTTCCTCCTCTGCCTAGATGGAGTTAGTATAAATCAAGGAAAGGTATCAACAGGTAATACGTACGTTGATTGCAAGGGCAAAGAGAAAATTACGGCTAGTAGAACTGCCAGTCGTCAAGTAAAGCCAGGTAACTCCGTTGTGATTATGGCGGACATTGATGTTGCTGATGACAGTGTTGTGGTTTCCGATTTGAAGGGCCATTGTGGTATTGTACGTGATCGCAACTGATCGTGAAAATCTGGCCGCTCTCGACTGGTCGACAGGTCTTTGCATTGAACCAAGATATGGGATGATGAAGCCTCCGCGGTGCTTCTTGTACGAGTCATCGCAGAAGTTGACCCGCGACGTTAAGTCGCGGATGCTGGTATGCTTCAGCCAACAGAACCGTAGTAGAATGCTCCGTCTCTGCCATTTTTGCCTTCTTCGACTTGGTCAGGCCTCAATAGGCTCAAAAGCGAAGAGTCCCCTTGTCCACCAATCGTGGGGTTGGGGTTTAAGGCATACAATGTTTGCGACCGTGTCAACAATGTTGACGTTGTCGTTACTAATTGCGCCGGCCTCCTGTTCACTTTGAGTGTTCAGTCAATATATATGGGAGGGCTGGAGGAACACAGCTGCTTCGTCGGTAATGGCGACGAGGAAGCGAGCTCTCCCCCCCTTTGGCCAAGGACATGAGAAGAATATCTATGCCCTCTTTGTTGCCTTGGCCCTTCGTGTGGACCGTTTCTCCCTCGTTGGCAGTAAGAGGATATTACCCCATGTTCGGGGGGGAGAGAACCGACCCGACACGCTGGCGTTCAATATGGATGCGTATAGATATATGTGAGCCACCTGTGGATCATGCGATCCAAGTATCACACATCGATAGTTGTCGCGCTCAAGAGCTTATCAAAGTTGGGTACAAGTCTATACGGTTTGTGCGAAGATGAAGGCAGACTTACGGCTCTTTTCGGGGCATCCATTCTCGTTGGCCGCTGAAGTGGCTGCGAGGCCGAAGTCCGGGTCGCTAGGCAAAGGTTGAAAGTACAAGTTTCGTGGGGGTCTGCGATGCCGGAGAGTGGTCTGATCACTATTATGGCGCCAGGTCGTGTGCAGGTGGCGGACTTGAGGGGTTCGGTGGGCAACAATGATGCGGTTGAGGGGTGTGGCTGATAGTGCGATAGGCTTATCTTGTATCGCGAGACCTGAGCTGAAAGTCGTTTATAAGCAGCAATAGCGAGGGCCAAGCTGGAACAGAGATGGAGGGGGTCTAGTCAGTCGGAAATACGGCGAGGTAGGCCTGGGGCGCGAGTTGTCGACTGCGTCCCGGCTGTGTCGGCTTCGACCCGGTGTTTTTTGAAAGCATGGACGAAAGCATCGTCGGCATATCCAATGGTAGGTAACAGATGTCAAGATGACTGAATAGCGCCAGCACCCCATTTGCTGGCATCGTCCAAATTGCGGCCCAGAAGACGCTAGCTCCAAGGCATAAGCCCCCCTTTCACGGCCGCGAGAAGGGGGGAGGGGGCTCTTTTCACGGGCGCGAGATTTCAAAGTCGATTTCTCGCGGCCGTGAAAGGAAGGGGGCCATGAACTTACCAACAATCTGGTGAGATAGTACGGGTTAACTTGGCGTCGTGGTCCGAGGTACTCGGCCTCTCCTGGGTATGTGAAGCATATCTTGTCTGACGTCAGAAAGGTTTCTAGCATAGGCTTGTCAACCGCCGTAGCGCCGTGCGCTTGTTCATCCGCGTAGAAGTTGTATTTCGGTCTCTTGCGAGAGAGAGTATTAGGTCCAATGTATTCGATGGCGTTGGGGTTTGGTCAACCCAGTAGTCCATGTAACGTCGATACACTGGCGAAGAGCGTCCAAGAACCGGATGAGAGGGCCCCAAGTGACCGCGGCGTTAGTATTAGGTCCGACGTACTCAATGGCGTTTGGGTTGAGTCAACCCAGTCCATGTAGGCCTTTCCTCGGGCCACCGCAGTGGACACCTCCCACCAGTGCGCCCACGATGATCGTGGCAATGGTAAGCACATGGTTGAGTATTATGTTGAGGTTGCGCTGTTGAGATTCTTCCTACCCTGATCAGGTTGGCATGGGCTCCAGCACTCTTGTAATACTTACAGAGGCGGTCCATATCAAGGGCAAAACGGAGGGTAGATTCCCCTCCTTTCCAGAGGCTGTCGTACCAGAAGGATCGGCCAGTGATCTGGTTGACAAAAAGGGCGCAGTAGTGATTAATGTGGTGGGTAACGAAGCAAACTCCATACGCCTTACGTAGCTTGAGGACCTGATCAGGGCGAGCTTGGACTCCTGGGCTATCCACTGACCATGGAGGGCAGTCCGGGACAAAACAGGGGATTTTCGCATCTCGAGCCGCAAATGCCACCATGCTTTCGACATCATCTGAAGCCAGCCAGGACTGTCTGACCAGGTGTCCAGCAGCATTGTAGATCCCAGGCAGATAGGTAGCTGATTCTGCTTTGGGTGTGTCCGCAAAGGACGAAGACGGAGTGTAGACGTTGAGCGGTAATAGATGAAGCCGACGAGTGTTGAAGAACAAAAAAGCGATCAGGGGGATCTCTTGTTGGTTTTTCAGAAGCGTACTGGTCCGGCACGACACGCTGGTGCATCCGTTTATCATCCTCCTCCTCCAAAGTATCAAGGCTCATATACGCCCCCGGCTTTTGCAATGACGGGTTGTATCTCCAGGCCTAACGCTCTATTTCATAGTTAGTCGCTCTAGCCAGATTCAACCGTCCATTGCCGACCTCCTGATCGACCGGCAACTTGGCCACGGGCCAGCAGCGTGTTGAGGAGTAGCTGTTGGTTTCTCTTTAGGATGGCATTTACTGCTCTCCCTCGATCAGATTCAATGCGACGACTGCCACAGGCGGACTACCTACACAGGTGCGCACCACCATGGGTACGTACGCATGGGAGTATTTAGCCCACTCCGTAGGTAGTTAGGTAGCAAATCAACCTCGATGATACACATACAAGTTGACCAACCTTTGGTGAGCCCTGCCAACGACACTACATGAACCGTTTGAAGTCCTATAGTTGTTCGTGGGTTATGCTTTGGCACCCTCTTGGCCAGTTCCGTGATACGCCTCTTCCTCGCACTCGGCGAAGGCTTGAAATAGACTAGCGTCCGGCCGGAGAGTGAGCTGTACGTGTTTTTCTCTTCGTGCTGAAGTAGGTGCGGTCGACTGGGCTCAGCCTTGCCTCCTATCCCGCTCGGCTCTATGTGAAGGCCTCTTTGCGAATTGTGTTATACGGGATTTCTTCAAATTGTGTGAAGAGTCTGACTTCTCTTCTCAACCGCTGATTTTTCCCTTCTCGGTGTCGAGATCTCTTCGTGACAGCTGATTCCTCTTCCCGATAGCGGATCAGAGGTTGACGAGCACTTCACGTTCCCTCTGTTCCGATCAAAGTCGGCGTTGACGTTTAGTTGGTCGATATGGGCAGCGATCACATCGTCGGCTCTGAGGTCGTACCCTCCCACCTTACGGGAGGTCTGCGATCTCTTCCCATTCACGCGGTCCCATTCGAGACCTTGGTACAAACGAAACCATCCTTCCCAAGAAGGAGGGTGCGAAAAGCTGTAGTGGTAGATGTGGTCAGGAGTGTTGGCCTCCATCCACTTCCAGCGATCAACACGTTGATCCACAAAAGAGTCCAGCGAGATACTCAAGGGTAAGTCGGTTGAGGACCAACCCCTGGCAATGGTTGCCATGAGAGACGCAGCCGACCTGATGGCCGAAGATATCGCTCGACGAACCCCAAATCTCGTTGACAGCACACTCTTCAACAACACAACACGGCTTCGAAAGACACTCGAGATGACAATACCAGTCTCTGACGCGCGCTTCGACTTCCGATGATGTCACCCTTCAGATCAATAACGAACGAGGAAGATGGTCAGACGCATAGATAAGCTGCCACGCCTCTAGGCTCAGGTCGTGACCACTGCTCAGTTTGGTGTATTTGTTCCCGCACAGAGGGGGCGTCAGGGTGCCGATGTAATACTAGACACCAAGCACTGGCCTACGCCTCGTCAGTTGTTCTGCTGGCTGCGTAGCGCGTTGCGCTGCCTCATGTATCCATCGGGCTCCATGATATTGTGTGTGTTGTGTGGAACAACCTTTGAGGATCATTGGGCGCCCTCGCGTCGGATGAGCTTCGCGATGAAGTCGCGAACGTTAGGCGTGTTGTTATCCATACGAATGGATATGTCCTGAGACGTTGCGATTGGAAACAAATGAACGAGTTTTGGGATTGAAGGTGGGAGAAAAATCGACCATCTTTTCTTTCAGATAGAAGCAGAGAGTAGATGCGACGTGGGGTTATGCAGGAGGTAGTTGGAGGTCAGAGTAGAGAAGTGATGACCTTGTCGGATGGAATCTTTCGCCCGCAGTTCGCTGCAACAAGCGACAGCAAGGTGGCGCCTGTGGCAGCCACCCCAGCCCACAAGCTGTCATTCGAAAGAAGCCGGCGTAGCAGACAGCTTTCAGACAACGATGTTGTTTGTCTGAGATGTGTTTTTGTGTTGTGACGATGTGTTGTAGGAAGTTGGGGGCGATGAGGACGGTGAAAGAATGGACGAGGTTAGGTTTCATTACATTGAGTCAAGGACTGCCGAGGCACCGGAAACGCCTAGAATTGGTGTCGGCGAGGGTGATTCGCAATGTCGTGGTGTCGCGATTGACGCTTTCCTCCGGCCGGTACACAACGGGGCCAAGTAAATGGGCCACCGAGCCCGTTACATGGTCGAATCCATTTTGAAAGCTTTGGTCGCTTGACATTCGACGGGAACGAGAGCTATCTCTCTGTTGATCGAGTGATCCATTGACCTTGAGACATCCGACTCGTTGCGGCGGAAAAGAATGCCCGGGTCAGGCTTCGCCAGGATGAAGCAGTTCAGGCCACCGGACGAGCTTTATTCATGAGCTCGTCTGCCTGGGCAGTAGTAGGACGAGTAGCCGACCGACGAGGTTGTCTCAATGCTGGCCATTTTCGAGTTTAACCGCCGATCAGTTGTTGCAGCCTGTGCCACCTAATCTGAAAGGTGACGATCGGACGAGGGAGGGAATAGTGAGCGAGTGGGGAGACTGAGAGCAAAGGGATGCAGTCTCGGCGATAGGCAGATGGTGGTGATTGTTGCTGTTCAGCCCCGCTACAAGATTCGGAGAGCACATTTTGTTGGAGGTCAAAAAGACCTGGAGTTTTGCTTCGTCAGATACTGTCGGATTGTGGTTGTCTACGAGAGTGTAGAAGTCTCGCAGAAGGTTAAACGACCCTCACTGAAGCTGTGGGTTCAGGTATATATGGGCATTATGCCTGACGTTACTTCTGTCCTGACAGATAGACAAGAGGCAGTATAGAAAGCCACAAAAGAAGGTAGTCGGAGGAACCACCGGGTAGGAAGGAGGAAGATTATAAGGGGAGATGTAAGGAGTAGACTCAGTAAGAAGCCAACCCCGATAGGAAGAGACGACTAGGAATGACAATACATGGGTTCTGTTGCCTAGCCCCGAGGGCCCATGGCCGGATAAGATGGACGGATGGATGGACGACGAGGAAGGGGGGGAAAAAAAGAGTGGCAATGGCGAGGAGAATCCCCGACTAAATATCGTCAAACGAGAAGAGGGGGGAGAGAGACCTGCCGAGGACGGAGTAGGTAATTCCAGATGATGGCGCCGGGTTTTTTGCTGCCGGCTCCCGCGCCGCCGGAGTCTGAGGCTGATTGCCAGAAGCAGGCAACGACAAGACGGCGGCAAGCGGCATGCGGAAAGCGGCAGACCGGCATCCCCGCAGTCACAATGGCGGTCAATCGGAAGCATTATTTTTGAGCCGCGCGGCCTCATCCGAGAGATGCACCGCGACAAAGACAAGCCGGATGTTGGGGAGAACTGCGGGTTGTCGTTGGCCCCAACGGCGCCGGAAGACATGCACCCTTCCGATAAATTCGCCCCCCCCCCCCCCCCCCCCCATTCCGTATCTTACCTACCTGTCTTGGCCCGATAGACGGCATGAGTCCAACAAGTGCGCCGGTCGTTGTGTCAGACCAAACATTTTGTCCGAGACCACCAAGAAGGGAAACGGATTTGCTTCTCCTTCCCCTGCCCTGTTTCGGGCGCAAACGGGCGCCATCGTCGTCCTGTTCCACAGCCAGCAATCGCAGTCTACTAAGAAGGCAAACCCCTCGAAACCGTCCAAAGCACACCTACCAACCTACCTACCTTGAAGATGGCGTAAGCAAGAGAGGACATGGGGCAAGACGAGAGAAGGACGGAAGACGATCCGTGCAGACACACGCAAACAAACATACACGGGCTGCCGGGTTCCGCGCGGGGCCGTCACCCGCACGACAGGCGTCCCCTGGGGACTGTCCTCTTCACCGCTACGGTACCCTGCCGCTCCCTTCGGCCGCAGCACTGCACGTCCCTGCGTCCACTATCCCGCCGGTGACGGCCCCGCGGAACCCGGCAGTCAAGTGTGTCAACCGGAGCACTCTGTTTGCAGAATCAACCCAGGTCACAAAGTCTGCAATAGCTCAGTGCCGTGGATTGCCGCATGGTGCTTCACTGGCAAAAACGAGTCGTCGCTTGGACCCTTGTCTTCCAAGGGCGCAACCGTTTAGAGGAACAAACGTCATGATTACCGGCCCTTGACGGGATCTAAGTCATGTTTCGTGCGCATGCCATGATGGACCGCGGTCTGGAAACAACCTTGATTTGGTTGGCTCTCAAAACAACTCTCTCATCTACCACGCCCTCTGATTGAGAGGAACGGGGTTCTGCGAGAAATGATGCTCTTGTCTAGAACCCTCCTACAACACCTTGAAGGAAAAAAGAAAAAGAAAAAAAAAAGGTGGGAGGGAACTAGACACAAGCCCAGTTGGACAGCCAAGGAGGCCATCCTTTCCAAAGCAGCAAATCAATAAACTCCGCCACGCTCAAACTGTCACAAGCGTCGCCGTCCAGCCAGGATCATGGCGAATGACCAAATATCTGTGAAGACCATGCCTCGCTCGCCGCTTCGGACGGGTGTAGTCAGCCCGCATGGCATTACCCCCGATTGGCGTCCCATATCGCACACGCCCAAAACGCCCACGCGGCCGAGTTTGCTCTCGTACCGCGGAAACCAAAATTCACAAACCAAGGGGGTATCTCCACTGCTCATCACCCTCACCGCAACGACAAACGTCCCCTGTGCATTGACTTGCTTTGCACAGCATTGGTGCCTCTTAATCAATCTCCGAATCCGGCATCGCCGGGACATCCGGGGATTCGTACGCGTCCCACGCCCTCTCAATGATGCCCCTGTCATGTTTGGTCAGCGACATTGATCCTTTTTGTAGGAGGGAACAAAAGGGAAGGGGGAGGGGGTTGCTCACCGTTCAATCTTCTCCAACTGAATACCCTTCTTGCTGCAAAAGACCAAGAAGCGCCGCTTGGTACGTTCTCGCTTAAACTCGACCAAGAGGTTTCCTCGTGGCTCGCCGTCAGGCGAGATCACGACGCCCTGTTTGCACACCACAACCACCTTGAGCGTCCCAGTGGCCCAGAGCATTTCCTGCACATGGCCCAACTCCAGATGGAAGTTGATGGGCTTCGCGTATATGCCCCAGGTGAACGTATCACCTTCGGCAAGTACTTGATGCTCAAAAATCTGTTCGCCATCGTCGGGAATCCAGTGCCAGTACTGCGTCACACCGGTGCTAACGGTGTTCAGCCGCGACTTGATCCGGCTCAGCGCCCAGTCGTGCTTGCCAATGTGATCGCCGCTGTAATCGTCGGTATCGGTGAAGCCGTCGTATACGAGATCCGGGTCTTTGGCCTTTTTAGGGAACTGTGCCATCTTGAACTTCTTAAACGGCCTAGCAAACTCGGGCGTCGGCGGCGCGCTCCGCTGTGGCTCATCTTGAAGGATTTGGGCTTGTGACGGCAGTACCGGCTGGGGCTGGAGCTGGGGCTGGAGCTGGGGCTGATGCATTGGCGTTGGCGTTGGCGCAAGGGGACGCTGCGAGACGCCGGGGAACTCTTCGTTGATGAAAAGTTTACGCTTCTTCGCACTCGGGGTGCCCTTGCCGGAACCGGGAGAGTCCCGCGGGGTCATCTTCATGCCCGATGGCCGGCCGATGCTCTTCTTGCCGTTGGCGAGTCTCAGGGCGACGTATTTTGAATCGTGGTAGAAGTCGTGAATCGTCTTGGCGAGGTTGAAGCTGGGGCCTTCGGCAATGATAAGCTCCTGCAAACGCTGTCGCAACCATTCCAAGGGCGTGATGTCAAGTGTCTTGAAGCCTTCCAGGGTCCGCAGAGTGTCGGCCAACCGGAAAATGGTGTCGTACGAAACCAGGCGGCTCATCATGTACTTCTTCCCCACCAGCTGGTAAGGGCAAAAGTCGGCGTCTTCCAGGAACTTCAGAATGGTCTCTCCGCGATTCACCTGTCGGCCGAGCTGGAACTTCATGCTGTTCTGCCCTTTCTCGAGGGCGGCCTGCAGCTTGTCTCGCCATGTCTGCAGAGTCGGTTCAATCATCGGCGCGATCTCGGGCCAGGATGGATCCCAGTAAGGGTGGTTCTGGTCAACCTTCTCGACCGGAACACCTTCCATGCATTCGGGGTGTGTATAAACCTTCCCATCGTGCTTGAGGGTGAGAGTTGCCTTGGTGATTGGGGCCAGGTCCTCTTCTGCTTCGTCAGTGGCCGTTGAGCCCTCGGCGAAGCTCTTATCCCGTGAGTTTGGTCTACTAAGGGATGAGGGAGTTGCAGAGCCGTTGAAAAAGCTGCTGTTACCAAGGCGGTCATGCTGGGTCTCTTGCGCAGTCGCATTTAAAGCCTTGAACTTTGTGATGGTTGGTGTTTGCTCCGCGGCCGGTGCTTCGCAGCAATCCGATCTCAGCCATACACAGTTTCCGCATGCCTGTAACTCGGGAGTATCGAGACTGATGCATTGCGCAAAGGGACCTTGGCTCCTGACACACTGACTGCACTGCTGGGCTTGCTTGCGGACGAGACCAGTCGCTTGGATAACGGCTCCCATCCACTTTTCCTCTGACCCTCCAAGCTGCTGCAGGTCATCCTGCTTGAAAACAACGCCGTCGCGAAGATGGACCGGTCTTTTCTGGGGCAGTCCAGACAGGTATATGACGGACTTGTTGCTGGATGTAAGTCGATTCACGGGGCCAACTGGGCGGCCCAGCGCATCAACAATTACGGTGAGCGGCGGCTGGTCAGCTTTAGCCGGAGTTGATATCGACGGATAAAGAGCGTTGCGATGGTCCCCGTTAATGGTTGCGGTGTTGGGTGTGGCGTTGGGTGCGGTGTTGTGTAGTCCGTTGACTGTCTCGTTGGCCTGCACAGGGTCGGCGGGCGCGTTATTGCGACGCGGCGAGGGTGCAGCAAGGGCGGCAGCGGCAATCCTAGCGCTCTCTTCGTTCTCCTTACGGCGCTCCTCTGCGAACCAGGCGGCCACGGCACGATGGTGGTTCTCTCGTTGGCGCAGCAGGTCCTTCCTAGCCTCCTGGAAGTGGTTGGTGATGTCTTCCAAGCTCTTGTGCTCTCGGGTAATTGCGCGGTGGACCTCGAGCGCACGCCTCTCGAGGTCCTGCTTCTGGAGGTTCAAGTCCGTCAGGCGGCTCATGTAGTACTTGGTGTTGGCCATGAACTCGCCCTCCAGTCTCTCGTCGTCTTCCTTTTGCAACAGTTGGATGGATTGCCAGTAGCTTTCCTCATCTTGAGCGGTCGGCCTCCTGCCGTCACCAGGGTCGAGATGCATGGCGGCGGGTAACCGATCAGGCGCTGGTCAATGCAAGGGTCTGCAAGTGTAGGCGAGTGAGTCGGGTGGTTCCAGGAAATACAGTTCATATAAATTTGGAGATGCCTCGTAGCCGAGGAGAATCGGTCGGACGAATGATCGACTTCTACTCCAGCACGATGGTGCGACCGGTCCAGAATAAGCTGCGATTTCGCATTGAAGTTGACGGGAGGACCAGGGTGGAAACGAAGTCCGGCTTACGAGTCGGGGGTTCGCGCAAGGGGGGGTTTGGATAAGCCAGAGATGCCTTGCACGTCGATCAATCCGCTGCAACTCCCGAGAGTTTATGCCGGTCCTTTGCCCTGCCGGGAATGACAACAGCTCCGGGGTGTCGGAACAGGTAATGAAGCAATGAGGAGGTGGTCGACTGAGGCGAAGTGACGGTGGATGAGATGAGAGTAAGATGAAGAGGGAAGGGGAGGGAAAGATGAGGTGGTCAAGATAGGAAAACCCGAGTCCGACGGGATGTGTGTGTGAGTGAGAATAAGTCGAGTGAGACGTCAGACAGCGTGGGTTTTAGGACGGCGCTGCTTAGTGTGCCAGAAGAGGTATTATTGTGTAAGAAAGGGGGGAAAAGAAAGAAAAATTGCCTAATAGTAGCGCGGATGGTGGTGGTGGTGGGGAGGACGGGAACAACCAAGACCACCTTACCTGCCTGGGTATCTACTGTGTACCTAAGCGGTCGGTCGGGTTGGATGTTGTTCGTTTGCCAGTTGGATGACCTCTCGAGCTATAGGCGAATCGAACCCGGTTGGATATAGCTGTAGCAGCTCCGTCGGGGGAGTGGGGGCCGAAAGCCGGTGAATGAGGGCAGGAGGTTTGGGTGTGTTGGCAGAAAGAAGCTTGGACGAGCGGCCGGATATTGACAAGAAACAAGGTCGACTGCGTTGAGAGCGCACGCCGTTGAGACGATGTGGATGTGTTGCTGATGTCTCTTGGCGTTATGGACTAGCCCGGACTATGTGGGCCGCACGGTGATCAGACTCGAATGACCAACAAGTGCGATTTGCGGATGCAGATGCGGATGCAGATGCGGCTGCAGGTTGGATGCAACAGAGATAGTATCGCGTGTTGGCACGTGATCTGGCGCAAGAAAACCGGCCTTATCTTCTGTCTGGCTTCCCTCTCGCTCCCTCTGGCTACCTCTCTCTCTGTCTCTCTCTCTCTCCGTCTCTCTCTCCGTGCGTCTCGTCTCTCCACCTGGTGCCAAGAATATCAAACGAAGAGAAGGGAGGAGGATAGGGGGGCGGGAATGAAGACGAGGTATAAGAAGGCCGGATGTCGACCGATAGATGAGGGACGTTCAGGCGTCCGTCCGAGAGACAAGGAAGCACTAATAGGTAAAAAAAGACTGGATAACTGAGTGGGGTGTGAGGGTAGCCTTGACTAAGTACCTAAGGTAGGAGGAGTTGTAAGAGCCTGTGTTTAATTAAGAACATTAAGAACAAAGACTAATTCGAGCGTCAGGCCGATGCAAGCCAAAACGCGAGCGAAAGGTACATAGTACAATACATACAATGGGTAATTCAGTAAGAGCAGGAATGCAGCAAGTAAGGTGCATCAAGTACCTAGATACCTCGGTACATAAGGCAAGTGCTATGTACCTATGCCACCTACCTACCTACCTATGCCAACCTAGGTAGATATATATGTACATACGCTTTTGGTATGTACTCCGTACTCTAGCAGGGCAGGAGAGGAGATGAGTGGAAGGCATGAGGAGGGAGGAAGGAAGGAAGAAAGGAGGACCCAGAAACACGGAATCATGACACCAGTAACGACACATATTTACCTCATGAAGTGTACATAGCGAAGTAAGTAAGATGCCAAACGAGGAGTCATCGTCATGCTCGTCCGATACATTCTGCCGCACTTGCGCCAAAGCTAAACAATAGGAAGTTGCTACTCATAGACGCAGATTATCTAGCATAGCCGCATAGCCACATAGCGTAGGTAGAAGGGGGCAAGGGGGGCGGGGCAGGGGGGGTAATTTTTAGTCGAAGCCACCCTTGTTCTACTTTGAGGGGGGGCGGCGCTGCCTATACCCTGTCGGATAGTATCAATAGTTGGGGCAGCCTAGAGAGATAGGCGTGCATATTCTATGCAGCTATGCAACTTGGATTTCCTTGGCTTGGATTGCCTAAACCTACGTGTACCTAGGCCCTACACCGGCTACTTTTTTTTTATTAATCTTTTTGTCACGCCCCCTCCAAATTGCTTCTCGCTCTCGCATTCTGCCTGTAAAACCAAATGTGAGTAATCAACCTACAAAGCATTCGGCCTGCCTAGGTACGTTTCTACCTTTGGGTTTCGACTATGTTCAGAGTATCATTTTATGCCCGTGCGTGCGACCTTCAGAAAGGGGGCCGCCTTGAAAGATACGTACCTCGGTTTCTACCTTTGCATCGCGTACCGTAGGAGGTAGGTATTCGTAGGTCCGGAGAAGCTAACTCGAATCCGAGTTAAACCCGGCTGGTTTCTAAGATTGGCAGGCCTCCCTGACCAGATACATATCGAGTGAAACCAATGGATGTCCGCATTGCGGTTGAATTACGACAGGCCACGTGATTGGACGCAAGTGCGCGAAATGCTCCTACTACTAGGCCGCCTCACTAGCGCACCCTGATAACAGACTCTGGCGCATCCGATAACATCCCCTGACCTGGGTCCCCTTCCCACCCTTACTCCTCTGCTCTGTCATCGCTGATTTTCCGACCAGGAAGATGCTGTCCGACTTTCCCATCCCTTCCAATGGGCATTCGATACTCTATCATTAGTTTTTCCCGACATAAGAGAGACAGAGAGAGAGAGTGAGTGTGTGTAGAGGTGTATGCCCAACATCCTTTAAACCCAATCTTTGATTAAGTGTGTCATCATGAGAGATATATGAAGAAACAAGAAAGAAAAGAAATCATGGACGCACGTAGTGCTGCGCTATTGGCATAGCATGATTACTACAAGGTGCAACACAGATCCTGAGAACCTTTTCCCCGCCCCGCCCCCTCGACATCCCCGCACGGCTCACCCATCACATTACGGATGACTTTGTAACACATATCCGATGGTAGATATTACCACCACTTTGCCCATCCCTACCCATTTCACCAAGGTTTACCGTATGAGTTGCCAACTCTGTCTAGAGGAAATCTGTTTTGTCCCGCTAACGACTCAAGACATATAATACATGTTTTGCCGTCGCCGAGTTGACGAAAGTTTACTCTAGGGCAAACAGTTATACCCTCCTCTCTTCATAACCTCCCACACTTCTGGCATTGCCTGGACCTTGACAGCGCTTTTTACTTTATTTTTATTATAAGAAAACCTAACCGATCGCCTCACCTACGGCAACACTAGTGACTAGAGGATATTACGGTTATACATTTTTGATAATTATATATTTGGCTTCTTGGCACGGTATCATAACTTGACTCGCAGAGGTACAACTTTCACAAGCTCCAAAGCTTATATATATCAAAGCTTATATATATACTGTTACCTATATCTGTGCACAGTACTACACAACAGCGCCAAGTCGTGAGGGTCTTATGACTGAATTTTGATGCAACCTATGCAACCCGGCTTAATCATGACTGCATCACACCGGCATCCTTTCCCTGTCTTGGGATTTGCAGCCTTGTCGGCGTATGAATTTGCTTTATTGTGCCATAATTGAATTACCTATACACTACCACGAGATACCTATACGGGTAAAAGTTATTATCCTTTTCTCATACTCCTCCCACAACCAGCCCCTCTTCAGCGACCGACCGAGAACGAAAACTTAAACCAGGCGTGACTCGGAACGAAGTGTATGCAGCCAGCCAGATGTGTAAAGACAGTTCGCCCACCCCCAAAACGCCAATCCCAATTCAATGATGCATGTTTGCCGTCATCCTAGACGCCAGCAACCCAGATGCAAGCCCTATACTGCGATCCGGCAAGACCGGACGCCTCTCATGAATACCCGCTATCGAAGCAAAACACCTGCTCGGCGTGCGAAACGCGCACTACTGTAAGCCATTATCCCTGACGCATCAGTAACGAGCAGAGTAACGCGCCGGGGCCGGCGATGGGGAGTACGAGTGGTCGTAGCCGCCAGCGTGACCGTAAGGGTCCTCAGCGTATGCGGCCGCATGGCGGTCTTCCTCAGGCAACAGCTCCTTGACCTCCCAATTGTTCATCCTAGTACCAACAGAGAACTCGAGGTCCTCGCGAGTGATGGAATCCCAGTACTACACGGCAATGTCAGCAATGTCAGCCAGCCCGAACAGGCGGGACCACATACCTTGTACACCATCATGACGCCCAAGAGGTTGCAGATGGTGGCGAAGAAGAGGCCGTCAAGATAGTGGCTGACGGCGGTGCAAATCTGGGTGCTCGCAGCATACAGAATGACCTGTCCGACAACGAAGAAGAAGAGACCGAAGGCGATGTCGCCCAGGGGCCAGCGGTCCTGCAGAGTCCTGACGACTAGAAGGATCTGCAGGGCGACGTATACGAAAAGCTCGATGGCGTTCAGCAAGTACAGGACAACAAAGAGGCCGACCGTGTTAGTAGGTCCCAGGCCGGCCCACGACTTGAAAGTGGCCAGCGAAACCAGGAAGCATATGGCAAAGGCGGCCAAGGAGCAGGCGCGCAGCAGCCAGACGGAGAGCAGAGTGCCGTCCTCGTACAGCTGGAACCCGACGAAGCCGTTGATTAGTAAGCAAGTGACCAACGCCGATGTCAAGCCATTCTGCACGGAGACAAAGTAGGGATACGGATCGGAACCCGGAGGGACGACACCGGCGTCGACGCAAAGGGAGATGAAGCTGAGAAGCATGTAGATGTAGAAGAACATGAGGATTTCCTTGCGGCCTGCGAATGCATGTTAGTCTGGTTCTCTTGGGGGGAGCGACATAGCGGTAGCGGGTCGGCGAGGCAACATACCAACAGCAGTGAACTTGCCGCGAATATGCAAGATCATGACGACGGTCATCAGGAGGGCGACGATGTGCATGGCGCTGGCAGCACCCTCAAAGATAATGGTGTTTGCCAGCTCAATGTTGCGCGCATAGCAGTCCGGCTCGATACCAACACCGCTGGTTACCTCGGTGGCAGGTCCGATGGATGCGCACAGTGGAAGTGGCACCATGTGGCAGATGTTGGTGAAGTCACCGAAGCCCGACATGATGGGCTACCGGCCGGCGTACGGCAGTGAGGCGGTTGACGGGGTCGGATGTAACAGGTCGAACGTTCAACCGTATGCGGCGACGAGATAAAGGCGATGAAAAGGGTTCTCTCGCACTTCCCGGGCGGGGGACGAGATGTGCTCGGCAAACGAGGTAACGAGGGAACAGTACGAGCAAGAGGCCGCGTCGACGTGATGTGAGAGCGAAAGAGAGGACTGGCGGGGTCCGAATGGTGGCCGTCGTGAAGGGCACGATGGTGCGGGTAGAGGAGGAATGGATGTTTCGATGTGCGGCAAGGGAGGTTCGGGGGTGGGCGGGCGGGTATCGTGAAGTCGGTGTCTTCGGAGGCCCGGGGAGGCGATGCGGAATGGCGGCGGCGATCAAAGGTCAAGGTCAAGAGCGATGACGATTACGGAGACAAGCGACGGCAACGGGCAACGACGACGACGATGGTTATGGGAGCGAAGGTGGTTCAGGAACGAATGACTGGGCAACACGCCGTTGGGACTCGGCGGTTGGTTTGGAAGCCTTGAGGGGGTGAAGAGTGTTTGCGGGAGGCTGGATGGAGCGTTGCTGTCCGACGAGCAGAGAAGCTGACGGGGGGGGGCCGGCAAGTGTTACTGGGGGAAAAGGGAGGAAAGAGCCCACCCCACCCAATCAATGTCACTGCTACTCCACTGCAAGATGGAATGCCAGCGAGAAGCGCCTTCCTGGTCCAGGAACTGGAGGAAGTGGGGCGCGATGGCAAATCTCTGCAGTTGGTGCCGTGGCTCGTGGCTGGTGGCTTGAACGGTCTCCAATCAAAAGAATAGAATGCTCCCCCCCTGAGCAGCTTCTGACTGGTTGACTCGTGTTTTCTTCCCAGAAAGCCATCGGCACATTTACCAATTCAGCATCAATAGCGTGCGTGTTCGTAATGTACTTCGTACCTGTACCTACCTAATACGGAGTGACCCCTGTTGCCAGCGGGGCCACAACAGGAGCGCATTCTTCGCCGAGAAGCGCCAGCCTTTTGATTATATTTTTGTTTCTTCTCCTCCACCCAGGATGCTTACGTAACAAACATCGCTTGTCCCAGGTACGGTACCTACCTATTCGTACACGTGTACTTGTGGACACTCGATTGCGGCATCACAGTCGGTACTTGTTTATCTAGGTACCTAGGGAGAGAGGTAGGGAGGTAGGGAGGCATCGTTACCGGCCATCGTTCCATCGATTGACGGCATGGCATGCATCAAATCCGACGAGCGAAAGAAACGAGGCGGAAAATCAATCGTCTCGAGGCTGCGTTGCACCGTGCCCGTTACCCCTCCGAAACCATGCAAAACAAGCCTTGCAGAGAACAGCAAACTCCCGCTGTCAATGAGTGACGTCGGATCGCACTCTCTCCTTCTCTTTGCTTTGCCGCGTCGTCCAGTCAACCCGTCGCATCTCGTCCAAACTCTCTCTTCTCCGACGAATGACACGCCTGCACCACCCTCAAAACTTCCTTCTGCTGGGCCAAACGGCCAACTTCCGTGTCGGCCCCAATCTTGGACATAACAAAAGAGGGCGCCTCTCGCGAAACTTGGCCATCTCGGTGTTTCTCCCGGCTCCCTTCACCACATTTGCGATTCCAGCTTGTCACTACGCCGAAACCGGCGTCTCAGCCTGGTTCGTTGAAACGGTACCCAACACCAAACAGACACCATCCCGACCTGTGACGCGAGTCTGGCATCCAAACATGCCAGCCTTCTGTCAAGCCTCGTCCGCGGCGACTGAAACTGCCGTCCCGATCGCACAATCACCCATTTGCTGTGGTAGCTATGACTGCCTACGGGTCTACACTACCGCTTCTGGTACGCGCATCACGGATGCTGTTGCCACCGCCGACAACTTATTGGACCTCGCCGGGCTTACTTACTGCTCTACTAACATGATGTGCTGGGCATTCCACAATGTTCTCGCCCCATCAGTTCCAAGTGGGGATGAAGCTCCGCATCTATAATCGTACATACGGATACATACACTGACATCGCTGACGTCCCGTCTTCCTTTCCGGATCTCGGTGGATAGCGCCATGCCATGTTTTCCAATAATTGCTACACGTACAGTTGCAAACGAAAACGGCCGGCCCGCACTTCGGGCCGGCTACACAATATCTCTCCCCCGCCAGGTCCTCGTCTTAAGGCGAAACACCCGTTTACCACCCCACATCACGGGCCGGCTCCGTCAACCGAATCCAGGACCACGAGCCTCAGGATGGGCACATGGCCGGCAACGTCGAAAGTCTTCACCCACGGCAGGGCCCTCAGCACCCGCAAGTGAGCCGGGTGGATGACTTCCTGGCTCCTCGACTCCTTCCCCGCCCAGCGCGCCTCCTCCAGGTCGACCGCGCGCAGCGGCTGGTGCCTCAGGAACCTCATCAGCTTCTGCTGCGTCCAGATGGCGAAGTCGGCCTCCTTGACGATCCTGACCGTGGTCGAGCTCTTGTCCATCCGCGCCCTCACGCCTTCCGCCTCGAAACAGTCCCAGTCCGTCGCGCCGAGGACGTCCAGCGCGGTCAGCCCATCCCGGAGCACGTTCCGTTGCGAGCCCACGCTCCACGGCGCCAGCCTCCACCCCAGCATGCCGAGCAGGTTGGACTGGATGAAGTTTTCGCACCTCTGCCGGGTCGCCCGGCTCGCGGACCGGCCGGCGGACTGCCGGAAGGCCTTCTCCATGCACTGCGCGGCGTTGAGCGTGCGGTGGATGCGGTGCCACTCCGCCAGACCCAGGAGCTTGACGGCCTTGTCGTACGCCGCGGGCATCGTCTCCTCCCTGCCGCCGCCCTGGTACTGCCGCCTCATCACCTCGACAAACCGGGCGGCGAATTCGACGAGCTCGCTCAGGGCCCGCGCGGCCTTTTTCAGGTCGTCCGCGACCTCCCTCTCCGTCCGCCACGTCGCGCTACTGTCCGACACCACCCTGTGCCACAGCATGCTGGCCATGCAGATCGCAACCTTGTCGGCGGCGTACTGGCAGTCCGTCCTGAGCCTCGCGACCACACGCTTCTCGGCCGTGGCACCGTGCCCGACGAAGCACCGACGGAGCGGACTGGACGGATGAAAGTCGATGGTCAGGGTCCCGCAGTGGAAGGTGAACCCCTTGCGTCGGTCCTTTCTCTTGACGCTCGACTGCACCCCGCTGTCCTCGCTCAGGAAGCCGTTCTTGGTCACGTGGCCAATGTCCCCGCCGGTCAGAACCATCCAGAACCTGTCGCCGGCCGTGGGGCCCGCCGGGAGGAAGAAGGTGGACTTGTCGACCTCGAACGTCGAGCGGGGCGCGTCAATGGATTTCCACATGGACGTCATATTCACCCCGGTCTGCTCCTGTTCGGCAGCCGGCGCGCAAGCCATGCTGTTCGAGGTGATTTGGCGCACCGGGTTGTTTTTGCTCCTGGCCGAGTCATTGACCTCGTCGGCACTCTTTGATCTCTTGAAGATTCGCATCTTGAGTAGAGGGGGGGGGTGGTGTGACTGGTGTCTTTTAATCTACTGCGTGAGTATGCGTGTGTGAGTGAATCATTTGCCTAGAGGACCAAAGTGACGGTATGTATGTCGAAAAGAAGTATTCCTTCCGTCCTCGGCAGCCGGAGGCCCTCCCTCGTTACCCGTTAGCTGCAGGGCCCATCTCCGATGCTCTCGCGGGAAACCCCTGGCCAAGGTTCACGGCGTCGGCGGACCTGAAGACGCTCGACCCGAGTTTTCCACGACGCGACAGACCACTGGGCTTGGTCTACCTATTTCCGATCCAACTATATCCACGCACTAGGTTAAGCAAGCCTCTGGTAGCAGAGACCTTACCTGGCCGATTTGCGGGGGAAGGGGGCGGACAATGAGGACCAAATAGCGACGCCGACCAGCCAACCTCACGGCCACAGGGTCCCTCTCTATCACGAGTCGATTTGGCGGCTACTCCTCCTCCATTGGAGCCACTACCGCTGCACTCCAAGTGGCGGACATCGACATTTCCCCTTCAAAGCCAAACTTACATGACCATAGAGGGGGGGGGGGGGGGTCAGGCACCCGCTTACCGTTCGCTCCACCAGATCCGAGCCCACCGTCACGTCACGTCACGTCACGACACTCCGCGGCATCTTGACAAGATTGTCATCGTGGACGTATACTCCGTTCGGGTGTTTACTGTTCGTTTTAATTTTTTTCGGCGTCCCGAAACGCTGTTCACCGTCTGTCTACCTGAACTCAACAGCGGCCCCGTGCAACTGCTTTTGGCGCTTCGTTTCTGTGACTTTCTGCCCCTCCACCACCTTTTTCGCAGAATAGTCTTGCCCCTTTCCAAAGACACTAACGTCCTTCTTTTTCCTCCTCGCTCCTCCCTCAACTTCTGATCAAACTCACTTGGGATGGGTGAACACCCTCTCCAACCTCTCTGGCCATCGTTTCCAGATCTAATGGGCGGCCACGATCGGTCCCCGCACAGTGCTATGTATGGCGTGGAACCCTTGGCACTGTGTCTCTGCCGTCACCAAGAGTCACCAAAAGCGCATGTCACCGTCCGTCTTTGATTGGCCACCCTTGCAGAACTCAATCCTCAAGACTAATCGCTGCCAAGCTACACACATACAACTCAGCATTTCCCATCCACCTCACCAAAACACACGCAAGCATACAAAAGACCCTTTACTTTGCTGTTTTACCATTTGAATTCAGATTTGTCTGATCTGGTTGGTATTTCAAGATCAGGTTGCTCGTCATTGCTGACGTTTTGCTTCTATCTACTCTTGAGAATCCCTCTCGTTGAGCCCAAGGGGTATGCACTGTTTCCACTTCGAAACCTGAGAGGTCCACGAGCCTGGGCCGCCTTCATTCATTCTCCCTTCCGACCCTTGTTCCATGACACCAAAAGCCAAAGGTAAAAATGTCAACTCCGCCTGATGCAATTTTAACTGTTGATCCATGAGAGTCGTTTCTTCCCTTGCCCAAACCCCAAAAGTTGACGATTATACATCCTGGTATTTGTCCAGGTCAGTCGTGAGTAAACTAATGGCCCCTCATCCTGCGCCATAAACAATGCAATGCGAAACTGGAAAGAACAAGAGGCCTGGAAAAAAATCTGTCTCGCTCGAGGCTGACGAGCCGAGGCAGTGCGGTGGTGGCAGAAGCACAAGACTCCCAAACTTCTAGTTCGGGTACGGCCCCTGCGGTAGACCGTGGGGAATATGGGGGATTTGCGCACTCATCCGATAGGGCGCATGCATAAATTCGGGGACAACGCCGGTCCGCAGATCGTTCCGTCGTCCCAGAGGCTGGTAGTGCATCTGCGTCGTTGGTAGATGATATTCGTTTAGAGACGCCGACGGTGGGGGGTAAAGAAGCGTGTTCACGTGTCGAATGGGCTTGTACGGACTGGGCCGCTGCTGAAGGTATACGCTTGGAGAGTGCGAAATGGGCGTGTGTGTAATCGGAGTGTGCATAACAGACGTAGGGAACTGCTCGCCTAGGGGGGACGAGGCGTACACCGACAGACTTCCGGGGCTGTGTCTCTTGGTTGGCGTGCCGTATCCCATGACGCTGTGCATCGAGACGTTCGACGGTGTGAGCGATGCTTGGGGCATCGAGGTCGTAGTCGGCATGGGCAACTGGGGCATCGGGACCGTTGTGGCAGGGGGGTAAACCGTCGTCATGGCACGGACACCATTGCTCAAAGGCGGCAGTGAGACATGTTGTTGCGTGGGGTAGGCGGTCGTGGCAGGATACATCTGGGCCTGTGCCGGAGCCGAGTTGGTGTTAAGCGAGAGACTAGGAACAGGAAGTCGCATGGGTTGTTCGCTGACCACTTGCGGTCGGGCGACCGGAGGCATCGTGTTGGGCTGTCTGCTGAGTCGCTTCGCCGGGGGCTCCGTCACATCGTCCTCGGGGCTTCTCTTACGGGTGCTCATACCCACAACGTGCTTACCAGAAAGCGGGGATATCGGGGCGTTATGGTAGGTCGAAGGCCAAGTTTGGGTTGTGTTCGGGATGGCCGTGTTCGGTGAGAATACGTTCGCGGCGGAAGGCGTCAAGGGCGGGAACGAGGCGGCGGGCTGGATTGTGGCAGTGGGCGAGGGCACCGGTGAAGTGAAGGACTTGCTCAATGGCGAGGTCGGTTGCTTCTGGGCCCTCTCGTAGTACTCTGCGAAGCAGGACAGCTTTACGAGCCACTCCTCCCACTCTTCCTTTGTTGCCAGCAGGCTGTATCGCATGTTGCTGAGGAACTCGACCTCCATGACGTGGATTTCCTGCACGGTGATGCCAGACACTTCCGCCCAGGTCTTGTTGGTGTACGTGTTGTCATCCAAGACTGCACACGCCTGTCAGCTCATTGTCTCCCTTGTCCTTGCCACCTTGACTTACACTTATTGCCCAACATCAGGGCAACCGTCAAAAGACGATACTCGCTGCCCGAACGGCCCTTGACCGAAGGATTCGTTGTCTTTAGACGGTACACGAATAGCAGAGCGAGCAGAATGACGTTCTGCGTTACTTGTGTTGTTGACAGAACACTGTAGGCCCACTTCTTGAATTGAGAAAACGGAGTCGCATACTCGGTCAGACGGGGCAACGTAGCCGTTGGTGGTCGGGATCGGATGTTCTCGGCCGCTCGCAACGTCTCTATTGACTCGAACCAGAAAAGACATGTAATCTTCAGTATCGTTAGCCCACAATCCTTAGATGGACGGACGGACTGTCATCCTACCTGAGCCGCAAAGTCTGCCAAGTTGCCGCCCTTTGGGTTGATGCAGCTTGGTATGGACAAGCTATGCAGAACGAGGGCTGAAGAGCCCTTGCGCGAGACGGTACCATCCGACTTGCCGATGGCGCCCGACGTCGGTGTTGACGGGCGAGTCGAGTGTCGGGAGGTTGTGGAGTACTGGCTGGTACCGGAAGCAGGATTCGTCACCGACTGTTGGGTCTGGGAGTATGAGTTGGTCGGCTGGGTGTAGCGAGAATATTGAGGGGCAGCCCTCGCGGCTTCGGCCATGACCGCCTTGGGACCCCGAGCTTGGGCGACGGCCGAGGGATACGAGGGGAGAACATGACTATCGTAGGCAACGAGGTGAGGAGCATGGTAGGTAGCACTCATGGCTTCGGTTGGCGGCGTGTAAAGCCCGCCCCGGTAGAGAGCAGCTCTGGCTCCTTGGTCGAACCTAGACTGCTTCTGGCCGTGAGCGGCTTGGTGTGAAGTCTGTTGGGAGGAGCTCTGTCTGCAAGTTGCTGGGAGCGCAGGAGACAGAGGGAGGTTGTAGTAGGGTAGAGGTGCTGCAGTCGAACACATCGGAGCGGGGTGGTCTCGGTGAGCGGCTCGTGGAGGGAGCTCGAGTCGGTCGGTGGTGGGCGACGAAGAGGTGGAGGTTGAATTGAGCTGCGGAAGAAAGGAAGACGGGTCGAAGAGTGTAGGTAGGTGAAGAGAGGTCCAGGCCACGGGCTGCTACATCTGGGGTTGAAGTAGACAGAGAAGGGCTTGGGAGGACACTGCAGTCAGAGCAGATTTCCGGTGAAAGCTATGCAGCAGGCAGAAGACTGTGAGAGTTTGAGTCAAGCACAACGTCAAGCTGTAATGTCTGTATGGCCTCTTGTCAGGTGATTTCTCCTTTCTCGTTATCGTAGCGGCAGGTCGAGGGTCTTCTCGGGTGCGGTTGCTGGTGGTGAAGCTAGATTTATCGACGTCCTCTCATTGACTGGCCGGCCATGGCAGGAGGGTGAAATTGCGAATAGCTCAGCCCAAACCGTGAGAGTGAGTCGAGCTGTCGGAGGAAGGTGCGAGTGGCTAAAGTAATAGTTGTCAATGGTGCAGGAGCAACCTCTGAGAATGGGATATTGAGTTGAGCCCAGGTGAGTTCGGGAGCGTATTCGTCGGTTGGGTCCAGTCAGGTAGCTCGGAGGGGTGAATGAGGGGAGGAGTTTATGGGTTGGTGGTGGTGTGGTGGGAGCAGGAACTCGGCGGAAGGCAGGTATAATAAGATGAGAGAGAGAAGGGGACCCGTAAACCACCGAGGAGTGCTTTAGATCGTCCGTGTAAATGAAGGGCTCGTGTGTGAGTGAGTCCAATGGAGCGCCGTGATTCGGTGGGAGGCAAGAAAGGGTGCAGAGAGGATGTTGTGTTGTAATTGTATTGTAAGAGCGGGTTTGGTATTGTTGGAACAGGAACCGGAGGAACCATAACAAAAAAAAAAGAAGAAGGCAAGCAGCAGCAGCGGAAGAAGAAGAAGCAAGGCAATGCAAGGTAAGGTCGGGACCAGGGTCAGTGTAAAAAAGGGTACGAAGTGATAGACTGAAGCTGTAGCAGAAAATGATAATAATAAAAAAACGGAGGTAGGTATCGGGCCTAGTGTTATGGTTGCGTCGTTCGTTGTCTGGACTCTCTCACTCTCTTTCCGAGCGGTGGTTCCTGCTCTCTTTCTCCGTTCGTCACTCACACACACATATACACACACACACACACACACACACACCACGGCTCACACCTCACACCTCATACGTATTCCGGAGGAGTAAGTACCTCCCATCCTGGTGTACGGAGTACGTAGTAGCGTGTAGCGTCAAAAGTAGCGTATCCGCTCCTGGATGGGGCCGCTGGCCGCCTGGTGTGTGTTGCGAAAGCATGGGATTGGGATTGGGGTTTTTTTTCTGGTATGGATTAGGATAGGACAGGATGGGATGGGGATGGGACGTGAGGTGGATGGGGGGAGAAGGGGACCAAGGTACCTTGTTCCATGTACCCTTGCCTGTCTTTGGATCAACCCAAGTCGGGAAGAAAGGTACGGTTGCTGGTACGTATGGGACGGGGAACGGGGTACAGTATGGGGGCTCCAGCAAATAAAACATTTGGTACCTAGCAGAAGGAGGAGGAGGAGCTGGCACAAGCGCAGGCCGGCAGCGGCAGGAGACAAGTCACGGCTTCCTTCAGCCCTGGCTCTTTCTTGCAGGGAAGGCAGAGGAAGGGTACTTGCACAAAGTACCTCACCTCTTTTTTTCTTTCTTTTTTTTTCTTTCTTATGGGGTGCGGGATTCTCGATTGAATTCTCAGTTATTTTCATTTTTATTTTATTTTATCTTGGCTGGGTACCGATACGTACCAGGCAGGCCCAGCCAGCATTGATAACAAACCCAAAGCAAGTGACTAGCGGCAGCAGCAACAGCAGCAGCAGAAGGAAGCAAGCACACAAAACGACGGGCAAGGCAAGCGTAAGCCAGGAAAGGAAGGGAAGGGAGAGGATGACCAATGTCGGTTTGGTCAGGCACGCAGCACGCAAGTGCCCCACATCTCTTGGACGACCAACCAGGTAACGAGTAGCGAGGCGGCGGCGGCGGCGGTGCGGCACTAGAAGAGAGAGAGAGAGAAAGCCAAAGAGACGGGCGTGGAGTTCGGAAGGGAGGGAAGGGACGCAATCAAAAGTACCTCGTGGGCCACCAACCACCTAAAATGTACCTCGCGACGCCCCGTACAGATACACCACGGTCTCGCAATCTCGCACCTGACCTAGGGGGGGAGCCACAACACACCCAAGACCAACATCAAAACCACGCACAGCTCCCGCTCCAGCTTCCAGCTCCGGCGCGCCTCTCCACCTCAAAAGGCAGTCAAGACAAACCCAACTGTGACCCAGACGCACCCCCTCGGACCATGGCCCCAGCCAGTCTCCGTCGCAGCTTCCCTAACTTCCTAGCCCCACCTCGACAGTCAGGTACTGCGTATCCGTACGCAGATACAACTACGATGTACGTACCGAATCCCTCTCCTCCTTCCTTTTCCTCTACCGCCAGCCTTGATTGAGTCCATGACCACCGACCCGACGACCATTCTTTTGCACGACTGCTCCGGGACTAGGGCCCTAGAGAAGGGGGGGACTGGGGGCGCGGGCTAACGAGGGACGAGCGACCGGGCTTGGGAAGGGTGACTAGACGGAGGGAGTATAGCAGGAGACCACCCAGTATCGGGCTCAGCATCCTATTCAACCATCCATCGGCAGCGGCAGAACACACCTGACTCTGGGCCTGAGGTTCCGCCAGTTACGTGTGGGAGTGGGAGTGGGAGTGGGAGTGGGAGGCGTGAGCGTCCAAGGGGGTGTGTGTGCAATGGATGGTGGGGTACAAAACCAAAAGAGAAGGAGGGAAACAAGCCAAACTCTCTTTTTCCCTCTATATTCAAAGTGTGTGCAAAGTAGGGATGGAGACCAGAAAGTGGACTACGCAAGGCGAGTTTACGTCGTTCTTTCCAAGTCAGTAGGAGTGGCACCTGAGCTGTAGTTTTTTGTTGTTGTTTTTTCTCTTCCTCTTTGCTTTCCTTCTCTCTCTGTCCACTCCCTCTTCCCGTGTCCATGAGAGAAAGACCCCACTCCACAAAAGCACAGCCTGATCCACCGGTACCCTTCTGCCTTGGAGCCAGGCGGCAGCTGGGTTTAGAGAAAGAGGAGGAGCAAGTGGCCGGCGTAATGTACGAAGTATCCGTAGGACCACCCACAATATTCTGAGCAGGGAAGGCGAAAGTTGGACGCGGACCAAGATAACCAACGGGTTGCGGAAAGAGAAGGGGAAATGGAAGCGACAGGGACCGACAGGGACCAAGCTGGACAAGGGAGAGAATGCGAACTGTGTATGTACGGGTATAGATATCTATGATGGATTGATACAGTGTGAATAGGACTTGGCTCAGACTAGCTGCCAGTGCGTTTGGCCCGACAGCCCCTCTAACGCCCAGTGTCTAGCACTGGGGGGAGAGAGCCTGCAGGTACGTACCTTGGTATCTGCCTCACCGCGAGTTATGTCTGCCCATCGGTCGGGCGCCTCAGTGCCTTTACCACTTTCACCCATAGGCTGTAAAAAATGTCACAAACTCCTCAGCCAGCCTAGCAGAGTGTGTGTGTGTGTGTGTGTGTGTGTTGACTGTCGGCTTAATCCGCTCACACCCCCCTAATGCTTTGCCCCCCCTCCCCCCCACATTCTCATTCACCTGCCTTCTTTCCTTCCTTTCGGATATCCTCCTGCTCGCTTTCTCTTTCTTTCTTATTCCACCCCCTCCCCTCCCCTCCCCACGCCTCTGCCCCCTTCTCCTGCGCCAACTGCGTCCTTGTCCCTTTTTTATACACTGCCATCTGCAGTGCTGGTCGAGGATTCTAGGCTACGCCCCGAAGGGACCAAGACCTTGCTCCCCTGTGGAACTCGGCCCTGCCCTGCTATACCTGTATGCCACATAGTACGGATACGTATCCGTATTCCCCTCAGTCAGATAGCCTGTTGCAACCTGTGAAGGAATGGACGGCGCAGGCCACACAGCAGGCAGGTAGGCAGGCAGGCAGGCAGGCAGGCAGGCAGGCAGGCGCATGGGCGGCGCTCCGGTCTGGTGGTATGGCAAGCAAGGCGTCGGTCGACGCTCTGCAAGCATCATCCACCACCGCTAGCGGACAGGCGGGCAAGGGCAGAACAGGGCATGGCCAGGCATGGTATGGCACGGTTATGGTATGGCAGGGAAGAAGCGGCATGCAAGCAAGGCAGGCGGAGGGTGGCACTGTTGCAAAGCCTGTCACTGTGATTAGGTATAGGTAGTATAGCTACCTAGCTCGTGACGAAGGAAAAGAATGAATCGACGTTGGGAAAGAAAAGTGAAGGAAAAAAAAAAAAAAAAAGAGGGGGGGAGGGGAGGAACGAGAATCGGAGGGCATTCGTACTCGATACTTCCTAGACGTCGTGCTTGCGTCAGCCGTCGTCGTCTTTCCAAGACCGTAAAGCGTACCCGGTACCCGCATCTCCTCTTTCACCTGGTCCCGGAGTTGGGCCATTTCCTCCACCTGTCGAGTGGTTCTGTGGACGGACTCGGCTTCTACGATCTCGCCAACCTGCTCGCTCGTATAGCATGCTTGCTGGCTGGCTGGCTGGCTGGCTGGCTTGGAACGTGCCGTGCAAGGGACTGTGGTGTATTAAACGCCTCGATACTATACCATACCTACTATACCACCTCGGCAGGATACTTTGGGATACCCCGTCCGCCATTCATCATCATCATCATCACCACCATCAACAGAGCTTGCCCATATCGCTGTCGCTGTTGCTGTCGCTGTCGCCGACGACTTGGCCAACCCACCCAATACCAATGGTACCAACCCCACACCAAACTCTCTGGGCCCTTGGCCGTTCTGGGTTCCGCCATTACGAAGGGCACTCACTTGCTGCTACTGGTACCCCATTGCCTTACTTGAGGTACGCTACCCATACAGTTAATGAATCAAGTTGTATGGGCCATGCTATGCCATGCGACACGAGGCCATACCGTACCATACGATGCCGCGCCGCCCTATCGACTACTGCCTTGGACCATGGCTTTGCCAGGCACAGGCTGGCTCGGCCTTTGGATCGCAGGTCCGTCATCAGCCAGCCTCCCTGGTTGGCTCGCCCATTGCCCATTAACCCCCCGTTCGCAAGTGGCGTTTCCTCCGGTCAATCGTAGTGTCCCATCCGCCGCCGCCGACGCCCGGAAGCTCGCAGCTCGCCTTTCCATCTTTCGGGATCGCAGGTGTCATGTTCGTCTTCTGGTCATGTTTCTGCCACATTGTGTCGCCTCCCCTCCGAGCTCACATCTCACCTGCTTGCTACAGTCCGTCCTGCTGCTGTATACCGAGGAACTGGACAGCTTTTGTTGTAAAACATGGTTGGAAATTTGTGTCTGTCTCTACCAGGTGCGCGCCCAAACTTGACCGGCATGCCAAACCTCACAGTAACACTGTACTCCCGCTGTGAGGAGGCTGGTCCGTTGCGGAGGGCACTTCCCGCCAGCTCTACTATGTACACCGTACCTAGGTAGGTTGGCGCGCACCAATTTTCCGACCACTTAGCAGTGAGCACACCTTGACACCTACCTACCTGCTCGGCCCCCTCCCAAGGATACAATACATACATGCACGCAGTTTGCGGCAATGTCTCGTTCTGGAGTAGCCGTGTGTCAATATTGTCCAGGTCCCCGGGGTCCTGAAAACACCTTGCCAATACCGTCTCGTCTGATCCGACAGCAACCACTGAGTCGCCCAGCCAGCCCCGACGCAACTCATCAAAGACAGAGACCGTATCTGTCTCCACGACAATTTACCTCGTGATACGGATACGTATCAAGGAGGTCTCGACAGGTCCGCAGCACTGAGGACGGAGCGGAGGCCCATAGCACACACACCTTAGCAACCCTATCGTGTATCCGTACACCAGGCAGGCACCTCAGCCGGTCTAGGGCCGTAACAGCAGGGAAGAAGCCCAGGAGGCATTGAAGAAGGGGCGGGGGACGTACGTACCTTGCCTCCGTTACGCACGCTTCCCTTGCCCAGCATCCGTAGTGTTCACAGGGAATCCAGACTGAAGGGGGGGGGGTGCCTGGGGAAGTGGTGCAGTGTAGGCAATTCCATATTGGTGCCCCCACTGTCATGGCACGAATGCAAAAAAAAACGAGGCAGGCATTTCGCATTAGATTTGCGGGTGAGAAGACGCCCGATCTGGTCCAAGTTGCTTCCACACAACCCAATCTCCCAACCAGATGGCTGCCAACCGAGCAACACCGATCCGTCGAGAGAGGTACAGTGCGTCGTGACACCATGCAGCCTGCATCAGAAACACGGTTGCTGACCGCACCGAACCGTTCTGCCTGCCTGCCTGTCTGCCAGGGGGTGTGAAGGGGACAAGAGCCATCACCTGTCCCTTGCTTCGCTCCGTCCAGCCAGGGCACACGCATTGCCGTGTGAGTACACCGTCGAATGTCCGTTACAAAGAGTGCCGTCCTGCATCGTTGAGGGGGGGGGGCCTGGACGTCGTCAGGTGGGATGGGATGTGCCCATGTCGTTCGTTCCGTTCAGTGCTGCCGGCGCTGGCGCCTCCACCGCAAACCCGCCCCCCCTCTCGGACCGGTGCTGACACTAATCAGTTGCCTTACGCAGTAGGATTGCGGTCAGTCCAAGGCACCACCAAGCCCCTCCTCGCCTCATCCCAGGGAATGAGACAGCACACACGCTCGCTGCTAGGAAAGGAAAGGCATGGTAAGCCAAGGTTGAGTGGCGCAACATGTCCCTCCCCTTGGCCAGCCGACTCGATATTACCGCAGCGTCTGATCTTTTTCCTCGTACCCTACGTGCGGATCTATTCGCCGTCGTCTACTGATGTTACGCGGCGGTCCCACCCCCTGTCGTCCATCTCGTGGGCTGACCCCCGTTGTGCAAAGGGAACAAAAGAAATGAAGCGTCAATAGGAGATATCGCCCAAAGGATGTGAAATGCTGGCAAGACCAGGGAGTCTCGTCGCCGATGCAACAGGTATGGTCGGTCTGCTCTCGACTGGTCCCCCCCCCCCCGAAATAGAATGGGGAATGGTCCCAGGAGCTCAGTAGTTTGCTCGGCCGGCGCACATGCTATTCTCGCCTTGCTTCGCCGCTGAATATACCCATTTGCAAATTAGCGACGCAATACTACTCACTACATACCGGTACAGCCTTCGACCCCTCCCTCCCTCTGTCGGTGACCCAGGCTCGGTGCAGAAGCAAATCCTATCGGCTCTCGAATGCGGGGGGTGTCAATCTAGAAAGTATCAAACAGTAAGAGAGACCGAGAGACTGGACCTTAATTCGCATCAAGCGCCTTGCCCAACCGAGCCCAATGGCCTTGCTTTGTTTGCCAAGGGACACACGGATACCACACAAGGCTGTATAAGCTGTGAAGCCCCGGCGACCTCGCACCAAGCGATGGATGTGTGGCTCGGGCGCTGGCATTCATTGCTTCCGCGTCAAACTCGGCCAATTGAGATGGACTGGACTGTTCGAGCAGCGGGCACACGGCGCTACCATGGACCATGGAGTGTGTGTGTGTATATGTGTGTGTGTGTTTGAGTTTCCACAGCCGATCCTGGGCGATGGGAAGGAGGCAGTCTCCGTATCTCCGTCCAGACCATGCCATTTGCGTTTGTCTCCTCTTGCCCCGATGAAACCGTGGTGGCTCGGAGAGGGGGTTCGCCATGAAGTGCTCTTGCGTAGGTATGTGATTGTGTGGGCGACGGGGATCTCGAGGGAGGAGCAACCTCCGCCGAGGCACGTCATGCACTTGAGATTTGTCTTTGTCCATCATGATCAGTTCCAACTCTGTTTGGCCGCTCTCCGACTGCGTCCCACTGCGTTTTCGTACTAGTGGCCCAGACACCAGTCATGATCCTCGCCCGGCTGTGAGATAGAGAGAGAGAGGGACCATCACGCTTGGAGGAATGGCCTGTATCTCTGACTGGCGATGAGGATGGGTGAGCGGCACGCCCGTTTCGACAAGGTCTCCGGCCGCGGTCGCGACACCCAAAAGACAAGTCCCCAGTGATAAAACCTGGAGTAATACGGCGTCATTGACTGCTACGGCCGGTTGTGTCGGCTGAATGGCTGGCCCTCGCGACGAGGCAGAGGGCGCAGGGACTCTGCTGCTCCGTCCGCCTGCCTCGAATCTGAAGCCTAGCCAGGTCATTAAAATCCTTGCAAAATTCCCAGGGCCCTTGCTCTGCGTGAACGTGGGCTTTGCTGCACCACAACCACGAATAACACGCGAATGGAGTTGTCTTGCCCGCGTCTCCCCTGCCGGGCCAACCAGGACAACTGAGTGGATGACCAGATTGGTTGCATTTCACCAAAATTCGAAGTACATGAGCCCCCAGACATGCATATTGGAAACGGAGTCAGTCAGCGTGACATGGAAGGCCACAACAATTCCGCAAACACTGCTGCCGGCCGTCGTCCAGTCATCGGGCGGCGGGTGCAGGCGGCAACAAGCATCATGTCTGACTAGAGTCGACGCCAGCTGGCCGAGACACGGTTCTGTTAATATTGCAAGCTGATCCGTGTCAAAGAGGCGATCGTAATGAGTGCGAGCGCCGCAATGAGCCGGCACCAGCACCATGTATGTATGTATGGGTGGGAATGACCCAGCAAATGGGAGAGTGTCGTTCGAACGCCTCCTGTGGTATGCAACAGCATGTTGAACGCTGTTGTGCCAGGGAGTGACTGCAACACTTGTGTGCGCAGGGTTTGAAATGGGGCTCTCGAGACTTCCCAAGAAGCCTATCGAAGCATGATTGGGTGCCCCCCTTGCCAAGCATTTCTCGTGCTCGCTCCCTGTCAAGCTCGACTTAGCGTTCAACTGCAGCGAGCGTAAGACTCAAAGACCTAAACTTAACCAGGCTTGCCCCGCCTCTGCGATGGCGCCGGCGCCGGCACACCGGCCTTGAGCGGCGGAAGCGCAAGCCGTAGGATGACGGATCGCTGAGCATGAGAACGGCAGTCTGTAATAATGCGCCGCCCCTGCCAGGGAACCTGAGCACAGGCTACTGTGCTCGAGGCAAGATGCGATAGGGAGTTGGTCCAGAGATTCGTTCACACTCCGTTCACTATTGACGGCTGCTGACCGTTCCCTGTTCGGCCCAGTACAGCATACTGCACTACACCCGTATTACAAATGGGCTTTCGGTTTCGTTGCTTGTTCCTCTTTTTTTTTTTTTTTTTTTTTTTTTTTTCGATGGTGGGCAACATGTGGGTTCCTGAGTTTTGTGTTATCGGGGTCAAACCGCCATGGGCTGGCTGCCTGACGGGCTACCTTGAGCATGCTACACACTCAGGAGGAAAGGATATGTAATGAAATGTTCTGATGCGTCAAGTTTGAGCTGGTTGAAGTACAGCCATAGATGGCCGTGAACAACTATACCTCGGCTTTGCGAATGCAGCCATCATGGTGTGGAACGACGTGCACATGGATAGATGGTGTCCAATCCCGGGATAGAAGACTCATTCTGCCATAATCCAGCCATAATCCAAGTCATCCACTCGCATACAGACTAGTGTGAAGGATGGTCATGAAACCGGAGTTGCTGCATTGGTCTGCTTGGCCACTTCTTAATCGAGGACATGTCTTCCGGTCGCCCGTTGTTTAAAACCTTTTGCTCAAAAATTGCAATTTTGCAGTTCGTCGTCGTTCTTCTCCCAAGGGGCGTGGTTGTAGTAGAGCTTCAACTTCCTTCTGCAACAGGGATGGAGACACACAAGGTATGTGGGAGAGAGATTCCCCATGTAATGGGACAAGCGGTGGCCCAAACCACACCTCCGATTAGTGAGTGCAGTCATGACTCCACAGTTATATAACAATAATAATAAAATGTGTGTGTTAGCACTCGGCCAAAGGGTTCGTAATCCTCCACACCGTCATTGTGGTTCTTGGTACTCAATAAGTGATTGACCATGAATCGAGGCTGGTCTGCTCTATCCGGGGGGGGGGGGGATGATGGTTGTGGAATGAAGTTCGTATGGGCCCGCCCCGTAGCTGGCTGGTCGCTGTGTGGAGTGCTCCGTCCAACCAGCAAATGATGGGCGCTCCAGATTATTGAATCTCAGCATAGCGTTACGCTGCCTGCTGCAGTGGCCAGCCATGTGGCTTATCATTCGGTCTAGGGTCCGTACGCCGGCGGTGCCCAGTCGGTTGCTCGACGGAAACAAGCGTGTGAGTGTGGTAGAGCCACGCCTTGAGCGTGTCGGCAACGTCTTTCATTGCAAACGACATGTCAACTTCTCCACCCGACTAGCGGGGGTCACGGCGCGGATTAGGATTCCACAGCCAGCTCGCTCCATCTCGTATGTACCATTAATGCCCGGCTATGAGGCGTCGTCAAGGTGATGAATGTAGCCGTACATAGATTACAAGCTGTACTTGACTGGTACTCTTGTACCCTGTATGGCATATGATGGAAATGAGACGTCGGTGTGTCACACGGGAACAAATCGTGTCGATAAGCGGAAGGTTGTTTGACAGCATTGCATCTGGTGAGGGCGGACCTTTGACGTACACTACCGGTACGTAGGGATCCTCCACGGCATTGACCGACGAAAGGCAGCGGCTCGGAAGCTAGACCGAACGAGGCTCGATGGACCTAATAGACAGACTTTTGCCTCTTCCAGAGTTCATGAGTCGATTGGCTGAAACAAGCCCCAGCCACGAGCTGCCGACGGAACGAACTATGATCAATTCGAAAACTTCCTACGAGCCCTGAACATGGCACAATGGAACTGTCATTCAGGGCGGTATAAGAAACGCCATTTCTTTGTCACACAAGTAAGGTGAGCAAAGGCTGACAGATGGCATGAGTGTCAGAGACTTACATCGTAGCCACTCTGTGCCTAGTACAACTGTTAACAGCACTTCAGCCCCATTGGGTCTAGTGCAGACAGGGTTTCCTCTGCATAGATGCTATGCCGTGCTCTTGCCAATTGTCATGTATGACTAGAGAGTCATGGAGCCTCGGCAAGAGGGAATTTCGACAAGACAGACTTCTTGCGAGGTAGCGTATGTACGCTAATTTCGAACTTGAATGAGCGGCTCAGTGCCAAAAACACGCTGGGAGAGGTGTGCGGACGAGCACATGGCTTTCCGAGGCTGCGCAGACCTACGCGGCGATTGGTCAATGCGATAGTGCTAAGCGGACCTTGGAGTCTGTTAGAAAGAAGGGGCGTGGTTGGTTCCCCAACACAGGTGGCAGATATGATATATCCCGATGCACTTACAGGCTCCGTCTAAATTGCAGGGCCGTGGCCAATTAAACACAACCTTTTGACTTCATGCCCTTTGCAGTTGTGCGGCCCAACGGCGCGTGACACGCAAGGGAGCGATCAAGAACATTTGTCGTCGTCCTCCTCCTCACCCCCCTTCGGAGAGGAGGGTCGGCCAGGGATCTGAGACTGGCATCGGTCCTCCGTGTCGTCCGCCGTGATGGCCGAAGTATCCATCATTTGGTGGCCGACTCAGCATCGCCGTTCTGATCAACAATCGGAGCTGTGTCGGAGGCTAGGTTTTTCCAACGATTTCACAAGGCGAGGTATACTCGACGTCCGGGATGCAATCCCAAGACCAGGATGGAAGTATCGACGGGCCTTTCTTAGCACTGGGTATCGGGGCTCTTGAGCCGGAGGTATCACCGAACCGGCGGGCGGGAGATGAGCCGAGTGAGGCTGGAGGGTACGTTGAGCAGACCGGTACAAAGACAAAGCCCCAAAATCAGGATAGCCTGGTGCAGATACTTTTCGCTAAAGCGCCTCGGTACATCCAGTGAGTGGGAAGCTCGGGGAGGGGAGGGGTGGACAAGGTCGCTCGGGCATGCATATCGGGGGTGTGATTAGTATTTTGTTCGTAGGTGGGCATTCGTCCAGGTCCGGTCCCCTTGCTCACCCACCCAGAGAGACAAGAGCTTGACCATTTGGCCCGGAAGCCATGCCGCCAAGGTCAGACGCCCGTGGCGCCCAGTGGCAGTTCCGTGAGTGGTTGAAAATCTCGTGTGTGCGAATGTGCACTTGGTGAAAGTACCTACACTACCCAGCAGCCTGAGACTCGTGCGCTATATCCAACGATGCATTCTCGACGCGCATCTGACCGAGGGCAGTGGTGCCGTAGCCGGGAGACGAAGGGGGGGAGGCTCCACGGTGTGTGTTAAGCACGTTGCCACAAGACCGAGAATAGCATTGCTACGGGTAACTTGTTGTTCAATCGGCGAGTCAAGCAAGCCCCAGATAAGTGTTGGCTGACTGTCGAGGAGTTCCAGTGACAGTCAGTCACAGTAGATATGATGGGTGGCGGCCAAGGGCAGACTGCACATGGGGAGAGGGTTAGTTACGGATACAGTGCGGAACTGAGACCACCCCCAGCGATGGCTGCAGTAGGTAGGTATTAGTCGGCTTTGATGGTGAACCATTCATGGGGCCAATGCTGGTGCTGTAACAGCTTGATGCTTGCAGCCGAAGACTCCCAAGGGGTTTGATTCCGGGGGTGATGGAAGTTCATGGGGTAAAGGCTTTCGAATACATTGCCTCGGACGGTTAGGGAATGCTGACTGATGGTGGCGCTGAAGGGAGGGGAGAGCTCGGCGTCGATGGAGCGAACAATCAACTTGGACATAAGTGGCAATGATATCCCCTATTCGCGTCTGTCCAGAATTGGGTTCGGTAGGGGGTACGACCGGCAAGGCCGGCATGAGATGCCGAGAAAGAAAGAAAGAAAAAATACGGAGGGAGAGAGAGAGTGCGGCAAATAGACAATAGACGAATGATGCCGTATAGCGATAGGGACGCGCATGCCTCCGTTGGCCGAAGCGTTCGTCGACACCGGCGATCCCTGACAGGGTCAAGTTTGCAGGATGATGCCTGGAAATGCGACGAAGCGAGGGAAGAGGGAGGGCATTTAGTCGGATGGAGTGCCTAGCGAGGACGAGGGGGAGGAGGATGATAATGATGCTAATGCGAGGAGTCTGTCCTGCATTTGACTTCCATGCAGGAAGTCCCTTTCAACATAACGCAAGCATCTCTTGCCGTGGATGAAATTTGAGTCCTATTCGGGCGCCTTCCATGTTCGGTCCGGTGCTCGTATCTCGAGAGCAGGCAGGCAAGGCAGGCAAGGCAGGCAGGCTCCAGCAGCAGTTGCCATTTGTTGGCAAGGGCAAGCAAGACAAGAAAGACCGACCCGACCCTGCAGAGGAGAAGGAGCAACTGGCAGCGTAGCAGGTGTGGATGGATGACTCTTGCGCACGGACTCGGGTATGGCAACCTCGGTCTTTTGCTGACGTAACGAGCACCCAAGGTGGACAGTATTCGTACGGTACTATACGGTACGTACCTAAGCAACAACGGCTGCTTGTCGACGGCTTCTCCCAGTATCCGTACACTCACTACCTACGTATTCCTCCAACAAGGTTATTTGCTATCTTGTCTCTACACACCTAAACTACGAATACACACAAACACTACTTGCATCTTCACTTCGCAACTTGCTTCCCGTCCATCCTCATCGTCACCATCCCCCCCCCGCCCGTCCGTACACTACTACAATACGAATACCGTTCGGCAACCGACACCCAACAGTCAGTCCCCCCATGCCATGCCATGCCATGCCATGCCATGCAACCAGCTCGCCCGAGTCCAAGCCCGTTTCGCATCCCGGCCCGGCCTGGCTAAACCAACATCCATCATATATCAGGTAACCTTGCCATCTGTCTGCATCCTTACTGCGTAGGTAACCTTGGATGCGAAACCATCCCTACGTATCTAGGTATCGAACTTTGGTTCCAACACCGTCTCGATGCTTCTTTCTTTCTTTCTCTCTTTCTTACTTGTCCATCGGGTCATCTGCTCGTACATGCAGATACAGGTAGGTAGGTCCGCGCACTTTTCGACAAGCAATTCGTCTTCTCGTCTTATCCTGACCAGTCCGGACTCGTCCACGCTGCCGCTAACCTCAACCTGCCTGCCTGCCTGTCTGTCTGACTGACCATCTCTCACATTCAGCTGCTGCAGCGTCAGCCGCGCCCCCAACACATGCTTGCTTGCTCACTTGCCCTCCGGCCGCCGTTCTGGCGAATTGACTCCCGCGTACGGACGACGTGTGTCTCGTGTCGTGTCCAAGACTTACTTGCCTGTATCAATTAAAGTTGACGGTGGCCCCACGGTCTCGACCCTCTCCCCCTCTTTTGCTTAGCTTTAGCTCTCTTTGCCATCTCGTTGATTCAGTCAGTTTACTCATTCACTCTCTCATACACTCCCCCACCAAGCAAACAAGCCTGTTGCCGGCACGCTGCTGCCACATGCGGCCTTCCCTTGTATGTAGCCATCTCTAGACTCTGCTATTTGGAGCGCCGCTAGTTCTGCCATTTGGACGACATGTCTCTTCTCGCTCACCCCCCTCTCCCCATCATGAGCTTGGACACCTCTCTCATTGCTCGCTGTGTATTGATTCAGCCAACCAACGACGCTGGGTCGTTTCTCCTCGGCCCGCCAAACCCCTCCTCTGCTCTTATACCATCAGCTGCATGATACAGAGTCAGTCTCTCTCGCTTTGCTTTTCCGCCTTCAGTCACCATCAGATCAGCGTCTCACCTCCTTCGCTGCCTTCTCGATCGCGCCGATCATCAAGGTTTGCTTCCTTCATACATGATACAACCCCGGATGAAGACCGGCAGAAGGCGCTCGCTGCACCTCGGTCAGAGGATTAGGTAGGTACTTGACCTCTTTGTCCCAAGCACTCGTACCTACGCAAGACATCCTTGACACAACAACGGGGCACACGTCTTCTCATAGCCCAATATACGATCGATATCTACTGCATCTGGTGGAGACAAAACAGCAACGCCCAGTGGCTAGCTTCATCGTCACATCATCAGACCAGGTCCGTCCTCTGGTCGACGTACGGTGCCGTTCACGTGCATCTGAACCCACGTTGGGGTCTTACGATATACTAGGTACGGC